GCATGACACAATTTTTTAGAACGTGGTTGTGACGTCAACTTGATGTCACTTCCCTTCAAGCACTCGGACCGTGAACTCCCGTCTACTCTCTCCCACAAGCTCTCCCTTAGCCCAATAGTATGAATGGACTGGAGTTAGTTTGGAGGGCAATTAGATTGGATTTGTTGTCAATCCCCATGACTAAATACCAGTGGAGCTGCCGCCTCATCAGTCCTGCCGCCTCATCGCGTGCGGTGGGGACCCTATCTCTCACCACGCCTATCGCCTACATCTTCCCTCGCCTTCATAACGCCGTCATACACCGGTACAGTCTGTTAACGTCGTTTATTTTCACGAAATACCTGATCAACTCCTTTGAGTCTTGAGTGATGCCGTTGGTGAAACGAGGATAATTTGGGAAATGAAATGATGAAAGGAGCATGGGCATGGCCGCATCACGAGTGGTTTGGATTTCATTGTTTGGGTAGCTTTCCTAGCTTTAGGCCATAGGCCTATATACCAAGGGCTCCCTCCCTCTCTCCCTCTCTCTCTCTCTCTCTCTCTCTCTCTCTCTCTCTCTCTCTCTCTCTCTAAATGAGCACGTACTAGGCGGTGGCGGGGTCACTCTTTTTCTCTTCACGGTGTCACGTGGGGATGGAAGGTGGGGCCAGCGTCTTACCTATCCCGGAAAAAGGAGGGAAGGCAAAAAAAACTCGAGTGGGGGCATGTGCCTGCCTCTCCCAAGTGACCTGTCGTTTAGGGGTTGCGAAAGGGGTGTGGTGGGTGACGCGGCGAGGTCACGTGGTGGTATTGCGTGCGCCTTTGCCTGGTTCTTACAAGTGCAACGTGGCCCCTTGAGGGGTGGGACAAGTGTCGCCGTCAACCGTGGCAAATAAATTTGTTTGGAATTTGGCATGGAATATCGGATGATGAGGGTTTCGTTAGTGGGCGGCACTTGCCAGTGTTTTGAGCGCATTGCGGGTTCTTGTGTTGTGTTAGGACCACAAAGCTCCGTTTGGATGTCACATGGTGCAATGTGAATTATGATTGCCTAGTTAAGATGTTGGAATTTGGATGGTGTTGCTACAAACTCATGATATGGGCACACTACATGTCGATATTGGCCAAGCTAGCATTCGGACCTAATCTTTGTACTTACATCAAACTACGACAAAGTTAACTGAAATGCGAGTGGGGTGGGGAAGAGGGAGTTTTATAGGTATGTGGTCGTATGGCTGACTGGATCCAACTCAGAGTCAATAATTTCTCTCGACATGTATGCTTTATGTTCAAAACAGAATTGCGACAACCCTACTGGATACTCTCTCTCTCTCTCTCTCTCTCTCTCTCTCTCTCTCTCTCTCTCTCTCTCTCTCTCTCTCTCTCTCTCTCTCTCTCTCTCTCTCGATATAGAGCTCAACTAGTTCAACTTGGGTTGAGCAAGTTTAGGTTTTGAGTCACCACAACAAAAAGATACTATCCAAAATTATGTTGGATGCCCTTGGTGGAAAGAAGTTGAGCTTTTACATAACAGCGTAAGATCGAATCCTGTCCATGACTAATCTAACAAAATCTATAGTTTGACAGAAAAAAAAAAAAAAAAATTGAAGTTCGATGATGAAGCCCACACGAGGATGAGAATTTGGCCCACGTAAGCTGCACTTCAGAAAATATGGACCTTCATGTACGTGGTGTAACGGATTGGGAGCCCACTATAAAGCCCAGTACATAGAAATCATTTTCTTTACTTATCTTGTTTCCCTAAAATTGTTGTAACACCTTCTAATTCATAGCTTTAATTTTATGAAGGGAAAATTTATTTGAACCTATATAACTTCTTTCTACACCTAACTTAAATTTTAATTGTGAATTATTTTTTTTACCCTATTGCATAATTACCACCAAATACAAGATGAAATTAACAATAAAACCAAAATTTATCAATAAACCCACATCCCAAATAATCAAATTCTACTATCACGCAATGTTTATCCTACTTTCATCACGCAATTAATCAACATTTATCTGAGCCATTTATTCACAAGAAATCATCATTATGTGTTGTCTGCACTAACAATAGCAATAACATCTTTTAGAAAAATCGAAAATCACGAACCGTAAAATTCTTCATAAACTAGACATCCATAACTTTCCAAGCATATAAAGCACAATATCTATTTCATCTTGAGGAAGTACAGCTTAATCTTCAAACTTGACAGAAGTATAATTCCAATAGAAGCCAAACGCCATGGATAAACAACAAACAAAGGAGCCATGACCTTGAATGCCGTGGTGAGGAAAGGAGATGTCAAGTATCCTCTTTGTCTGATGATGAGACCCCATCGTCGATTTGTAGAAGCATTGATCATACGTTGTGAATAATATTCCACGAGTTCTTATTCTTCAAATTGATGCACCAATCTCTACTTTTGCTAATGCAAACTATTTAAGGGAAAGGTAATTAAATACAAGTTAGATATCGATATATGAAAATAACGTAGTTAGCAAGATGGAGATTTAATCTGCTCAAAATCTGGTTCACAGGATCTCAAAGTGGTACATGAGGAGGAAGACTAGTTCTGTTTGACATAGTTCATAGTTTTGTTTGATCATGAGCTTATGTTTTATTCTTTCTTCTGATCTATCAGCTTGTAATAGCAAACCCTCAAAGTAAGGTGATCAAGAAGCTCACGAAGTCCAAGTTCACCAAGAAAATTGGTAAGGAATGGGTGTAAAGATAAATATATATTTTGAATTGGGTTTACGTGGATAGTTTAGGTAGTAAATTTGGGTTTAAAAATATATTAAACTTTTAATTAAAAATAATATAGGTGTAGAGTGTGAGTTGGATGTAGAAAAAGATTATATGAGTTCAAATAAAATTTACCTTTTATGAATACCTATGAGATTGGATTGAATACCTGGTATAACAAAATGAGTGTCGTTGTATTGAATTGTCATGTGCTTATATATTTGAAGTTTGAGTTTGATTGTATCAAGATGCATTCATGTGTGACGAATGTTTTCACCAATCTGAATCTATATGATATTACTTGATTTCGTTTTATTTATTTATTTAGTTCTCTAAGTACAAATACAATTTTACAATATGAAATTCTAAGAGCTTTAAATATAGTGCCAGGTGTTGGAATTTGGGTGTAAGAAAGCGAACATGCTACTTTATTCCATTGACATAACACACACTGTTTACAACTAAATGAATCATGATTTGTATGAATGTGTAGATGGGGAGTATTGGTCAAGGAAAATAACTTTCACACACTCATTTTCATTTTCTCCTCATGCATATTATGTTTATTTCTTACCATTGGATTGAACAAAGTTTATTATTACCGATGCGCATGAAACTTAATTCTGATAATATTTTTCGGCTTGGAACTCAAAAGCTGTCACTTTACACCCTAATACTCAATATTTGCTTCACTTTGTCGGAATTTCATCTATTTTGTCAAAATGACAATATTACCCCCAACAAGTCAACATATTTGACTCCATTTACAAAATAGACAGAATCTTGCTAAATTGAAACAAATATCGAGTTTCAAGATGTTAGATAATTTTTTAATTTCAAAGAGTAAAGTAAGATCATAATTCAGTTATCGATAATATTAATAAAAATAAAATAAATCATCGAATAATGTCACATCCCGGCCCGGGGCGGATCACTTCCCAGGCCCGCTCCACTACTGTAACACGATATTGTCATAATATTTTTCGGCTTGAAACTCAAAAGCTGTCACTTTACACCCTAATACTCAATATTTGCTTCACTTTGTCGGAATTTCGTCTATTTTGTCAAAATGACAATATTACCCCCAACAAGTCAACATATTTGACTCCATTTACAAAATAGACAGAATCTTGCTAAATTGAAACAAATATCGAGTTTCAAGATGTTAGATAATTTTTTAATTTCAAAGAGTAAAGTAAGATCATAATTCAGTTATCGAGAATATTAATAAAAATAAATCATCGAATAATGTCACATCCCGGTCCGGGGCGGATCACTTCCCGGGCCCGCTCCACCACTATAACACGATATTGTCCGCTTTGGGCTTACCATTCCCTCATGGTTTTGTTTTTGGGAACTCACAAGCAACTTCCCAGTGGGTCATCCATCATGGGATTGCTCTAGCCCCCTTCTCGCTTAACTTCGGAGTTCCTACGAAACCCGAAGCCAATGAGCTCCCAAAAGGCATCGTGCTAGGTAGGGATGGGAATATACATTTAAGGATGTGGTATGTGGTATCAGAGCCTAACCCTGGCTGTGATGTGCCGATGAGGACGTCGGACCCCTAAGGGGGTAGATTGTGACATCCCACATCGCCCAGGGGAGTGATCCTTAAATGTATATTCTCATCCCTACCTAGCACGATGCCTTTTGGGAGCTCACTGGCTTCGGGTTTCGTAGGAACTCTGAAGTTAAGCGAGAAGGGGGCTAGAGCAATCCCATGATGGGTGACCCATTGGGAAGTTGCTCGCGAGTTCCCAAAAACAAAACCGTGAGGGAATAGTAAGCCCAAAGCGGACAATATCGTGCTACAGTGGTGGAGCGGGTCCGGGAAGTGATCCACCCTGGACCGAGATGTGACAAATAAACTTTAATCATGACACGTAAAAAAATGATCTACATAAAACTCATTCACCGTCACGCGACAACGATTGAATAATACATGTTGGTTTTAGGACATACCTCTTGAAATAAAAATCTGATTTAGATAGCATTGTAAAATAAAATATTCCCTGCGGTCCAGCCTGGGCTCATGCTGCAAGCCGGTAAACAAGCGGCAAATGTAATTACATACGTACACGATAAGACCCCCCTCTCACCGTCCCGCCAAAAATATTTCCACGCATTCGACGCGCTATTCTCCGTACACATTCATGACGATCTGAATCAACAGCCATGATCACGTCCTTCTCTCGATCCTACGGTCGATATGATCAGGTGTTTGTCGTAACTTCACGAAAAATGGAACCGACGTAGAAGATAGGGAGAGAGGATTTGGTGGCTTTTGGTGGAAGACAAACGCTGTGCTGGAAGAAGAAGCCGTGACCCTGATGGCTGAATCTTTTAGCCGTCGGATCTTCTCCGTGTCCTCTGATGATCGTCAGCTCTTCTTCTCCTTCTTCTCTCTCCGTGTATCTCGCTGATCTCGCCGTCGAAGATTTTTGATTTCGGAGACCGCCGGTGAGGTTTCAAATGTTTGATATCTTCTCTTGTGATCTTTCTTTTGGTTTCTCACTTTTCAATTTGATTTTCTTGCTGTTTGTGATTTATATTTTCTCTGCGTAATCCTCCGTTTGGTTGGCGAGAAACTGCGGGAAAGCGAGCCAAACAACAATTGACTTTTTATTTTTATTTTCAAATTTTTAGTAGATTGAGATTAAATACTCGATTTTTTTCCGAATATCCGTACGATTTGGCGTAATTTTTATTTTTTTTCCTGCGCATTTTTCCAGCAACTTTCTCAGCAACCAAACAGACAGTAAGACCAGTAAAAGAAAATTCAGTGATCTTTGTGTACACTAAAAATAGTCAATTCTGAGAGTAATCAAGATTTAGGCATTTTATGGAGAAATTAAATAGTTAGAAAGCTTGATTACAAGTAGTTTGACGATTTTGCCTTACTTCTTGTTAATATGATGGATGAAATGAGACGTATTTACACCGTTTCTTGGCAGGTTTTCGGTTTGCTGAATCGAGCGGCGTGATCAGAAAGGTTCCTGATGTAGTATCTTGAGTCCACATCTTGCCTGTGTGAACGTTATCAACGATTTTATAGAGTAATGTTAGCATAGTGTATGATTGATTTGCATATACCGCGCGATTCAACAAGGATTTTTCATCCTTGTTTGATGGCTACAAAGTTGGAGAGTCCTGTTAAGACCCAGATGGCTGTGACACTGCTCGGTGGGCTGCTGAATGGCGACCGCCTTGAGAGCGCGAGAGGCAGTCTTGCTCGGAGGAGGCGTGTCTTTGTGCAGACTGAGACTGGGTGTGTTTTGGGAATGGAGTTGGAAAGGGGTGACAATGCCCACACGGTTAAAAGGAGGTTGCAGCTTGCCCTCAATGTACCTACGGACCAGAGCTCTTTGACGTTTGGGGATCGTATATTGAACAATGATCTTAGTGCCATCCGCAATCGTTCAACGCTACTACTTGCTAGGAATGTCATGAACAGAAGCTCGTCAACTCCTTGTCTGTCACCTACTGGGCAAAATCTGCAGAGGGATCAGGGTGATTCTATTGAGGTTTTGGGGTGTCCAAATAATTTTGCGAGAATTGATGAACTGGTTAAGGAGATTGTGGTTGCTATCAAGAAGGGTTTTGATCCGATCCCCGTGCATAGTGGGCTTGGTGGTGCTTACTTCTTCAGGAACATCATGGGCGAGAGTGTTGCCATCGTGAAGCCAACAGATGAGGAGCCATTTGCACCGAACAACCCTAAAGGCTTTGTAGGCAAGGCACTCGGGCAGCCTGGCCTGAAGCGTTCAGTGCGAGTTGGGGAAACTGGGTTTCGAGAAGTTGCTGCCTACCTTCTGGATTATGATCACTTTGCTAATGTGCCTCCAACTGTTCTTGTGAAGGCTGCACATCAAATCTTCAATGTTAATTATGGCGTCAATGGAGATAAGATTCAGAAGAAGAAAAGGGTTAGCAAGATTGCGTCTCTGCAGCTGTTCATCCCTCATGACTTTGATGCCAGTGACTATGGAACTTCAAGCTTTCCTGTATCAGCCGTTCATAGAATAGGCATTTTAGACATTAGGATCTTTAACACTGACAGGACATGCTGGGAACCTTCTGGTTAAAAAGCTTGATGGGGAGTTTGGTAAGGTGGAGCTCATTCCAATTGACCACGGACTTTGCTTGCCGGAGCACTTGGAAGATCCATATTTTGAGTGGATTCATTGGCCTCAGGCATCAATTCCTTTCTCTGATGATGAGCTTGAGTATATAAGTAATCTTAATCCAATTTGTGACTCTGAGATGCTGAAAATGGAGCTTCCCATGATCCGAGAGGCATGCCTTAGAGTTCTGGTCCTGTGCACAATATTTCTTAAGGAAGCTGCTGCTTTTGGACTCTGCCTTGCTGAGATTGGTGAGATGATGAGTAGGGAGTTTGGAGGGCAAGAGGAGAAGCCAAGCGAACTTGAAGCTGTATGCCTCGAGGCCAGGAAGATCATAGCAGATATGAACTTGTCAACCTTTGAGGCGGAAGAAGGAAATGAAGAGTTTCTGTTTGATATAGATTGTGAGAATGCTGGGATTCTTGATCCTTCAGACGTTATGTCACATCACTTCTTTGATCAGGTTTCATATCCTTTTGGGTCTAGAGGCGCTGATGGTCGAAACTTGCTGTCCAAGCTAGATGAGTGTTTGGAAGAGGATGAAGTTAGGGCAGACGGAATCACTATCCAGCCAAATTTGTATCAAACCTGCTTCAAAATTGCCCCTTCCTCCGAAAAGAATAGATGTGGGTGGGAGAAGCCGGCTCCAGAGAGCTGCAACCATATCCGGAATCAGAAGAAGTGCAAATGATCAGTTACCAACCTCACCATGCTTCGTGAAGGTTGCTGACATGAGTGAGGAGGAATGGATTCTGTTCCTTGAAAAGTTCGGTGAGCTTCTTTACCCCGCCTTTGGCAACCGAAGGTCTGCAACACTCAGGCAGAGAAAGAGACTTGGAACATCTTGCAGATTTTAACCTAATTCGACTGCTAGTTTGACATAGAAGCGCGGAACCGCAGAGTACAAGCTGCCATCAGTTTTTGTTGGGGGATTTGGGGATTCTCTAATTTCTGCAGCAACGAAGAACATCGTCATCAGCGGTATAAGCAGTCTACAGTACAGTTATGTAGATAGTTTTAGAATCAAGAGGGATCCGGGATCAGCTCGAGTGCAGGAATAAAGATCACAAATCGGTCTTCTTCGTTTTCTGTTTTATGCTTGTAGTTTCCTTTCTGAGTTCTGGCAAGAATTCAGTTGTAGAAAACTAGAGAAAGTACAGATAGAAATGGGAAAAAGCAAATACAATATGGTGTGTGTGTGTGTGTGTGTGTGTATATATATATTGCTAGTAGTTTCTTTAAATTGTTCAGAGCAGTGTGTCTGACTCCTTGCACCTGAGTTAAATACGGGATGAATCTCGATATGCTAGATTTCTTTGAATGCCTCGACTCCTCGCCCATAAATGGTATGCGTGGAAAGCCTTGTGATCTCCTTGAATGCCTCGACTCCTGAAAAACAAAAGATTTCGAGTAAATTGGTTAACTTCTGTTTCAAGTAACAAATTTGTTTCATCAAAAGCCGTTCTTGGACGCTCCGAGAGTAGATATAAAAGCAGATGTCCTAATTAGTTAACCATGACAGGCAAGTATGTGGCAAAAGATGTCACATGTATGCACTTGATGTGTGACGTCTTTTGACATATACGAAAGACATGATTAATTAACCATGACAGTCAAATATGATTGATTAATCACAAGTTGATTTCGATAACTTCCCATTTGGCTATTTGTCAAAAATCCATCATTTGCAATTTTTTTGGTTATATAGTAGATTACTTTATTGCATGTAACTATTTGCCCCCTACCCCCAAATGCAGTACTTCTATCGTTCCTGTTTGTATTTAAGTTCTTGTTTTAGCTTGCAGCATTTTATTGTTACTCGATTAATTCAAATAGAAGCCAAATATAGTAAATAATAGCTTGCGAGGCTAAGCTCACACTGTCCTCTTAGTATAGATAACGATATTATCTATATTAAGGGGGAGGTGCTGAGCTAAGCATCACAATTGGCTAGCAATAATATAGTTCAAATTAACCCTTGACGAAAATCGAACCTAACACCTCTCACTTACAAATGAAAATGAATATTACTACTCGACTAGGTAAATAATAGTTAACTAGTTAATAAATAACAAATGAAAAGAAAGAACCCTTAAAACATATATATAGAAGGAGGGAGAATCGAATTCGGAACCTCCAAAGCAAGAATGTTCTTAACTAACTGAATTTCAAATTTACAAGCCCTTGTAAATGAGAATAAAGAACATGATTTGGGTGGCTTGAGAAATTTGAACAAATATATAAACCTGTTGCAGGGATCCTTTCGAACTCTCGTAGCACTTAGAAATAAAACAAAATATATAGCTTTGAATATTAATTCTATATTTCCAAACTTGTTTCTCTGTCAAAAATGCTTACATAACCGGAAATTGTAGCCTTAAAAGTAAAATAAATAAACAACCAACAAAATCCACAAAGATAAAACACTCTCTGTGTGGAAAACCTAGCTAAAACAAGAAACAATGAAGAGTAAGACAAAACTTTGTGCCCTAAAGCTAACTCTAAATTCAAGCCGCCGCCGGCCTCTCCACTAGTGCTCTGCAGATCTTCGATCCTTACTTAGTTATTCTTAGGTGGATGAGGTTTTGGGACATGGTAGTCAGCATTGAAGGGTATAAACCCAGGTATTTTAACCTTCACACGACCACTACTACTTGCCACTTCTCAATCTACGTTCTCCATTGCTTTTCAACACTTCCTCTTTTGCCATTCCTAGATTCCTTTCTGGCATCATTTTCCTCCCCCCAATTCTTGTATCTTCAGCTTCTTCCACAGCAGCGGGAACGCCGTCATGAATTTCCTGAAAACGCAGTAGTTTTTCTTAGAATTGTAAAGATCTGTGTTTAAAGTGATGCTTAAGGAAGTGATTTTTGTACATTTTTCACCTGCATATCATGCTTATTTATGGTTTTTGAATTGATAATCAAAGGAAATCAAGACAGAAAATAAACAGGAGTATGATAAGAAGAAACGGATTGGTGAAAATCGTATTTCCCATCTGTATTATAGCTAGTGTACCTTTTCAACATCGACGAGGCTTCTTCTCAGCACTACTAAATGGCCAGTTTCATCAGCAGTCAGCACCACTTTGTTCATAGCTACATGAAGCATACAGAAAAATCGATTAATAAGGAGATAAGCGTTTAAAAAAATAAAATCGATTACGCGTACACACAGATTATCTCTAACTACTTTGAGAAAACATACTTAATTATCAAGTCAAGAAATATTACCTCCATGTGTATGAGCTGTAGATTGTATTAGATGTAGCAAAATGAAGACAGGAACGAAGGTAATTAGCTTGAAAGACGCCATTTTTGGTTCCTTCTTCTTTGATATATGTATATATGTAATGTGTATGTTTTTCTAACTTCGAAAGCTATCAAAAGAGAGGAACCCTAGTAGTGAAAAGGAAGAAGATCTTCATATATATATATATAAAGATCAAACGGTCATAGTAGCAAAGCTACGGCTAGTACTAGTCAACACATTGCCTTTCTTTTCTCCATCTATCGTAGTATTAAAATATGAATACGGTGTTTTTGGCAGAGGTACAGTTACCTGGGAAAAAGGATCGATGAAGAGAAAAAAAAAGTAACAGAAAACAAAGCACTGTTCAAAGTTTTGGTTGATGTAAAAGTTGACAACGGTTTTTGCGAGGGTTGGCAACTTGGCAATATATATTTCTGCAATTTTATATGAGAAGAGTTAACTGTAATTGTTAGGAAAAAGCGTTGTGATCGCGTGGAATGGGGAAGATACGGTGTTCAGCGCCTGTCTGCCGCCGTGCATGCAACGAGGAGGCTTCTTTTCGTGGCCAAGGTTGGCCGCATACAACTTAACCCTAGGGTTTCGGGCTTTATAGTAATTTTATTTAGTTGTCGACTCTCCTCCCCATATAAACATGTCAGTCTCTCCTAGGGTAAATTAAACTAACATGCATGGTAAAAATTAAGGTGGAGTTTGAGAAGGAAGCACATGCTCCTCATTTGACCAAGTGGGTGTTTTGGTAATTTTCGACGTGTGAAGAGAGGAATATTTATGTAATTATATGTATAGTTAATTGGGTTATTGGATTTTTTCAGAAGGCTGCTTGAGAATGTCCACATGTGAGATTTTACTGATTTTATAAGGTTCCCCACCCCAGAAGTGGAGTCGTCAACGGTGAAAAAAGGGTTCAAACTTCAAACACCATGGAATGCATGGGAGTGAAAACTTTGTACATTCCCATGGATTTAGAAATTTGAGATATGTAACAGTCGGTGAATTAGTTGATGGAATTAACATTCATCAAACTTACTTACTAAGGGGATGTATTTATATTATCTTCCTTCTTAAATGACTACGTGAACAAAAAGAAACGACAAATATAAATCATGTGATGCATGAGTTCTTTAGATAAATAAATCATGTCAATCTTGTCTTTAATAACTCATTGGAATATAATTTCTAGTGAGCATTCTTCTTTGTTTTGGTTGAAGAATTTGTACCCGGATGTACGGTAAAACAACTAGCTTAATATAGGGATTCTAAATGTATGTGGATATGATGACAAAGTTTAACTCCAAATTTCAAATGCAGACAGCTTTTGGTTTGCGAGTTTGGCGTTCAAACATGGGGATTCAAATATAAAGGAAAGTTGGGTTGCCTTTATAAGACATGGTCACATGCAACCTACCTTGCCATGCATATATATATGTGTGTGTGTGTATCATATTTCAAAGAAACAATTGTATATTATGCATCATTGAGATACTAATATGTCGCTCAGTAACTCATAGGAAATGCCCCAATAGGAAACATAACCAACCATTTTATGCAGATTGTTCCTACCTACCGAGAGAGCTTCAGTTTAAAGGGTGGGCGCCATCCGGTTATGTTTGTGATACTTATTTATATCGTGTGTCGTGTTTGTGTAGACTCACTTGTTGATTAATACGTATATCAATATAAAACAACAGTTAATACTATTCATTGCAAAAATGAGAAAGGAGAAAAGTTATAGTTTTATTAAGATAATATTATGCGATGAACAATGTTCATGTTTCATTCGTGTATCATGTACTCATCGAATCATATATTAGTACAAATTTTGAGTAGTGTGAATGTGTTAGCATCTGAAATTACAACCCCTAAGTACACTAAAACAAAGCAATTGCCCATTTGTTATAAAAAAAAAAAAAAAAAAATTAGTGCTACACTTATCATTTAAATATACCACCTCATGTGTCTATATAATGGATAATCATAAATTTCAAAATTTAGTCATTGTCTGGAATAATTTTTAAAATGAACTAAAAGCGCTTTTGGTGAAATTGATTTTGGTTTCCAAAAGTTCCAGATATTTGTTTTCTGCAGAAAGCACTTTAAGTGTTTTTCTATGATCTACTTGGACTTTTACCAAGGATTAATTTCAAAAACATTTTCATCAAAAGTGTTTTCAGTCATTTTAAATGCATTTCTAAATGAGCCCTTAAAGTCATCTAATTGTAATAAGTAGGTTGATGAACATTACCACCACTTTAGGACGGTGAGCAAAAATACATCATTTTAGAAAGGGAGTTTTAACGAAAAACCCACGTTACTGTTCACTTTAATGAAAAACCATATTTTTACACTAAAAAAATCAAACATGGTACTATTTACTTTACTATTTATTTTGTCTTTATCGTTAAAACTCAAAGTTTTCAAATCCTTTTCATTAGTTTTCTTTATTAAAAAATGCCCAGAAGTCGAAGAGAAGAGCCAAAGATTGTCCAATCTATTTCACATTTATCGATCATTGATGTTGGCTGGATTAAGAAGCTATGAAATCCAAATATTAGCGGAAGAGGGAGTGGAGCACCATTAGATGATTATCCAGTTACCGGCGAAGGTGGGATTAGAGCACCATCAGTCACCGGTGAAGCAAGATGGAGATGGAGAGATGGGAGGGAGGAGGAGATGTCGATGTGGGAGACTGGAAAACTTAAAAAGTCGGGTTTGATTAATTTCTTAAAATTTTACTAACGAAGAGATACATATTTATTTTATAAATTTATTTGAGGTGATTATCGGAATCGGATCTCCTTCGGACTCAAATGAACTGAGTTCAAGGATCAAATGATCCGGACCATTGAAATTTGATCAAACGATTATAATTATTATAACTTTTAGAAGGTCTCCTATTTGTAGTCGTTGGATTAAATTTCAATGGCCCCATATCATTTAATCCTTAAACTCCGATTTTTTTGGTCCAGAGGGGATCCAATTCCGTGAGTATCCACCTAAACTGGTACTATACATTTTTTTAATTGATGTGGCTATCCACTTCATCTTCCACGTAAGGTATGAAATTGTGATATGTTTTGATGGTAAGAAATAAGAATAATATTATTATAAAAAATAAGTGAACGCATGTGAATGTGAAGAAATTAGTTCAGCTCATTCAGATTTAATCAAAATTAAGAACAATTTCTCAAAAAAAAAAAAATTAAGAGTTCGATATTTGCAATGAGTTTTAGTAAAATTTATGTAGTAAATTGGTAAATATCGCTGATATTCATTGATTTTCTTATATTTTGCTAATATAGATTGAAGTTTGCATTTCACCTCCCATTTTCATATCGATCATTGATTTTTCAAATATTTCAACTGAAATATCGACAATTTCATGGATATTTTAAATAGTGGTCGCAACAAAAACATAGACCAATATTTACTGGTGGGCGTGTCACGCTTAGTAAGATCCAACTACTTGGTTATTGAATCTTACCCGCCAAACCTAAACCCCCATTTTCCCGCCAAAACCCACATTGCCTCTCTTTCTCTCTCAATTAAATCAAACAACAAAGAAATCTGGAAAATCCAACAAAACCCAAATCCAAGTTTCCGTCGATCCGCACGCAGAGCCATGAAGATCCGAACTTTGAAGCTCCGAGAGGCCCACAAGCCCACGAGCAGCGGCGGGGGGCCGTCGTACTGCTCGGTGCTGTGGGACCAGCAGGCCTACCACGTCGTGACGGCCTCCTCCTCCGACCCCACAATCGCCATCCACGACTCTCTTATTCTGTCCAGCCCTCCCAAGCTCCTCCGCCACCACCGCGACGGCGTCACGGCTCTCGCTCTCAGCCCCAACTCCACCTGCCTCGCCTCCGGCTCCGTCGACCACTCCGTCAAGCTCTACAAGTTTCCAGGTCAATATCTCCTAACCATTTCTCGTGTTTTTTTGGTTTTAGGGGTTTTGAGAAACTGGGTTTTTCGATTGGTTTGAGTTTTGTCTGAAATTAATATCAATAAGCAAAAACAAGATTTGGTAGATTCAATGTGAAATGCTGGATTTAAAGGGGGTCATTGAATTCAAAGGCTCACTAGTTCTTGGATCCCTGAAAAAAGTGAAAGCTTGGATTTTTTTTCTTCAGATGTTATAATTTTGAAGCGTTAATTGTTACAAATCTCTCTGTGTAATTGCTCTCGGATGTTAATTTGTGATTAATTTTATAATTAAACTTGTTAGGTGGAGAATTTCAGACAAATATAACCCGATTCACGCTGCCAATACGTACCCTGGCGTTTAACAAATCCGGGACACTGTTGGCAGCTGCTGGTGATGATGAAGGCATTAAGCTTATTAACACAGTTGATGGTTCAATTTCAAGAGTTCTTAAAGGACACAAAGGACCAGTGACAGGTTTAGGTTTCGATCCCCACAGCGAATATTTGGCCTCTATTGATTCAACTGGGGCTGTTATATACTGGGAACTTTCATCTGGAACCACCTTGCATACCCTTAAAGGGGTAGCTCCTAACTCGGGTTTCGATCATTCCATAATGAATGTACTTAGCTGGAGTCCTGATGGAGACAAGTTAGCCGTGCCAGGGTTGAGAAATGATGTGGTGGTTTATGATAGAGACACAGCTGAAAAGCTGTTTTCGTTGAGAGGTGATCACACACAGCCTATTTGTTCCTTGGCTTGGTCACCTAACGGAAAATACATGGCTACTTCTGGTTTGGATAAGCAGGTTCTCATCTGGGATGTTGATCGGAAGCAGGACATTGACAGGCAGAACTTTGAAGAGAGGATATGTTGCTTGGGGTGGAAGCCCATTGGCAATGCACTGGCTGTTATTGATTGTATGGGAAAGTATGGTGTGTGGGATTCAGTGACTCCTTCATCAATGAAGTCGCCCACTGAAGATGTTCCCAATCTACAATCTAAGAACAGCAATGGGCTGCTTTTGTTTGACGAAGAGGAGGGTCAGGAGCTTAGCACTTCTGGTAGTTTAAGTGATGTTGGTGAAGATAGTCTTGGGGAATCCAAACCGCCTAGCAGGAAGAGGCCACACAAGCACTCTGCATATGAGGATGATTTGGAAGAGGATGGTTTTGATGGCTTTAGGTTGATACCAAATGTTGAGTTGGAGTCCCGAAAAAAGCGCGTCGTAAACACAGTGAAAGTGTTGATAATGAGAATGAGGGAGCAAGCAGCAAAGTGACATCGATTAGATCAAAAATGCAGGTGGCATTCCAGCCTGGTGCTACTCCTTTGCAGCCTGGAAAAAGGCGCTTTCTGTGCTATAACATGCTTGGAGCCATAACTACAATTGAACATGACGGATTCTCCCATATTGAGGTAACCTATGGCATAAGTCACCAAACTCTCACTATTACGTGATTGCTTTGTTAGCCCGGAGTGCCTTTATATCGTACTTACATTTAAGTGTGTGTGATGCAGATAGATTTTCATGATACAAGTCGCGGTCCAAGAGTTCCATCAATGAATGATCATTTTGGTTTCACAATGGCTTCACTTAATGAGAATGGAAGCGTTTTTGCAAATCCCTGCAAGGGAGAAAAGCACATGAGTACTCTCATGTATCACCCATTCAGTAGTTGGGCAAATAATAGTGAGGTTAGATCATTGCCTTTAAATATTAAGGAAAACTAATGAAAAGGGTTTGAAAACTTTGAGTTTTAATGATAAGGACAAAATAAAGGGTAAAGTGAATAGTATCAGGATTGACTTTTTAGTGTAAAAATATGGTTTTTCGTTAAAGTGAACAGTACCGTGGGTTTTTCGTTAAAACTCCCTAAATATTATGCATTAATGCTATATTCTGGTGTGTATAATACATGTGCACTTTGAATATTTTAACTGCCTATGCATGATGAATATGAGAGCTTTTGTATAATGTTGACTTTGATGTGTGATGCAAACCCAGTGGTCTATGCGATTGGAGGGGGAAGAAGTGAAGGTTGTGGCACTTGGCACATCTTGGGTGGCAGCAATTACGAGTCTTAACTTCCTTCGCATCTTCACTGAAAGTGGTTTGCAGGTATGCTGATATACTTCAAATCATATTTCTTTTGTCGGTGAATTAAGTTATTTTGGTGGAATGGGATTGTTAAGTTGTTTATGGCTGTCTCTTTCTTATGTTTGTCTAATGTTGACTTCTTTAGCATTTATCTCTCGACAAATTTAATAACAGCTTTAGCTATAATCTTTCATATATTTAATGTAAAAGGGCCAGGAACTTGTTTGACTGATTGAGGTTAACAATGTAACAATTAGTTAGTGCATCAAATTTTTGATTTTGAGTTACTCTAACTTGTTGACGATAGTAAGCTTAGTTTCTGGAGTTATATGTTTTTCTGAATTCATTTCATTACAGAAACATGTTGTCTCCCTTGATGGACCTGTCGTGACCGCATCAGGCTTCAAGGATGAACTTGCGATTGTCACTCATGCTTCCAATTGTCTTCCTTCAAATGAACAGGTCTGATTTTCAAGTGATTATCGATACTATATTACTGCGTTGATCTGTAAGGTTTTTATTTTTTAATTTTCTTATAACAGAATTCTCCTTTTTCTACTTGAGATATGTAGATTTACAAGTCCAGCAGTGCATGTTTGATACCATTGGCATCATTTTAAAATAAAATCAATTATCCTCCATTTGTTCGGGCTGATGATTTTGCACTCATTATCTCATTCTATTTTATCTGCTGAAATGAAATTGTTCTTTTCTTCTGAAACATGCAGATGCTTGAATTTAGAGTACTCAACGTAACTAATGGAAGCCAGCCTCTTAGAGGACGGTTGCCTTTGACTCCTGGTTCACATCTAACATGGTTCGGGTTTAGTGAAGAAGGGCAATTAAGCTCCTACGATTCCAAGGTATTTTAACTCTATTTTCAAGTTATTCTATTACTATGACTTAGAAACCGCTTTTGAGATTGGATATGAGCCGTTTTCTATATTCTTTTTTTTATAGGGCGTGCTAAGAGTTTTTACAAGGCAATATGGTGGCAGTTGGCTCCCACTCTTCAGGTTCAAGATTCTTCTGCGAAACAATATACATGGAATGCTTCTCTAAACAAAAATCTCTAACAAATAATCTATCATGCAGTGCTAGCAAAGAGAAGAAGTCAGGCGAAAACTATTGGGTGGTTGGGCTGAATGCAAGCAAATTGTTTTGCATAGTTTGCAAAAGTCCTGACTTGTACCCGCAGGTAAGGAATGCTCGCCACCTCCTTCCTCTCAGATGTTTCCTCTGCAAATCATATCTTGACCATCCTACTTTTTCAGGTGATGCCGAAACCAGTCCTCACTCCGCTAAATTTTTTGTTCCCTCTAGCATCCTCTGATCTAGGGGCAGAAACCCTTGAAAATGAGTTTATACTCAACAACACGCACCTCGCACAGGTCTGTCCTTTTACCCTCCTCACCTCATAGCGTTTATGTTCTATGTTTGAGAAAAGAACTGCCTGCTCTATGCCTGTTCTACCTGCTGCTGGTCTATGGCTGAGATGCTCACACGTATGTTAACTGACAGATTCAAAAGAAAATAGAAGAACTGGATGCTGTCGGTTTGGACACCACTTCACTTGACGATGAAGCTTTCAATACAGAAGCAGCTCAAGACAGATGCATCTTAAAGCTTATTGCATCCTGCTGCAACGGTGAGTATTTTACAGTTTATTGCAACATCTGGCCTCTAATCTTGGTTCTTGATTCCAACAAAATGGAAAATATTACAAAGTGCTGAAATGCTTGTTTGTGTTGGCAATTTCAGGAGATAAGCTTGTGAGAGCAACTGAACTCGTGAAGCTTCTGTCCCTCGAAAAATCAGTGAGGGGTGCAATCAAGCTTGTCACTGTTCTGAAGCTCCCTAACTTGGCTGAAAGGTTCAACAGCATTTTGGAGGTAAATATTTCAATAACCGATGAAACTGATTCGTTTCAATTTCCATCCTGCGGTTTCTTATGATCTTTCATGCCTTCTAACAGGAAAGGCTGCTCAACGAGAGTAAAAGAGCTGTGGAAATCACCTTCCCTACCTCAAACCACAACGCATCTTTCATCACGGATGACATTGCAGCCGCAAAGAAAACAACCTCTACCGAGCCAAGTAAGTTGTCAGGAAACGACATTCCACTATCAACGCCAAAATTGTCGGCTCCTTTGTTTACGAAGAAAGCCAAAACACAAGAACCTAAAGTTGGAACAGAGAAAACAGACGAAAAACTGGCGGAGGATGATGTTGGGAAGGTAAAAACGACAGAGGCGAAGAATGCTACACAGGTGAGCAACAATGCCGGAGAGACCAAGAAGGTAGGGGAAGTGTCTGAGGTACCAAATGATCAAGAAAAAGTGAAGAAGGCAGAAGCTCCTCGACGAGCATCTAATCCATTCATGAAGAAATTAATTAAGTAGATTAAGTTCCTCTTGGTTCCCTAATTACAAGGAGCTTAGTGTTTGAGCAGCATTAGTAGTAAAGTAAATACGACCCAGGTATCTATTTGTCTCAATATTGGGCCTGAACCTTGTTATGGGCTAAAGAAGCAAATTAAAGTATCCGGTCCACGGCCCAAGCAAATTTGCTTGTTTCCGACATGTCTTTCTCCATAGGAAAAATAGGTTCCAAGTAAAAGAATATATAATTGGAGTAATTGCTTCTTAACTTTAGCTCAATTAGAGTTTCGGTCGGTTCTTCAATTAAAAATTCTTGAATATTGGTTTTTAAACTTGTAATAATGTAAAGCAATGGTTTTTTTGGTTAATTACGGTAGAAAGTTCATGTATTTTATTGCTCCTTTAAATCCTTTATGTTTGAATGAAAGTTCTAACGGAATTAGCAAAAAATACTCGCTCCAATTCATAAAAAGTTTAAGGATCAATACTCACGAATTGTAATTCAAAGACCAAAACTCTAATTTAGAAAAAATTCAAGAATTATTGCTCTAATTTTCTTGTCAATGAGTGTTGGTCGGTTCATTGCACGTAAGACATTAATTTTGTTTTTTTTTTTTTGCAAGAAAATATATTACAAATTAGTAAGTTTAGGATCTAATTAGCCAAAAGTAGGCTCAATTATAGATACGTGATTCAATTTGTAGACTTTGAGCTCACACGTACATATTCTAAACTAAATGATCTACAGTAAGGGAGATTTGAATTCGTTTCCATTTTGAATAACCTTCACGATTTGAGATCTTTTTTGGAACTCTGTTTTCCGAGTCAACGGAATAAGTGAACTGGACCATTCATTTTAATATTCGATCCTCACTAGTCCATTTCATTGACTCACCCTACATAAAATTAAGGGTGTGGATCTCTTTCTTTTTTCAACGGCCTGAATCACTTAATTCTTGAACTCTGAACACAGAAATCCGAAAGAGATGGAGTTCAACCTTCACCCACACCTTCGAAGTTTACTGAATTAACAATTATTAACTTGGAAAATGTTTTATGTCGGAAATCAGTGAGTGACACTCAACAAATAATAAAATAAAATAAATTAAAATAAAATAAAATAAAGTGAGTGACAAACAATCAAACATGTCTCTCCCTCAAACAAAAAATGTGGAAAAACGAAGGGTGATCTCGTAATTTCAGAGTCGGCAAATCACAAACTTTAAAAGCCCGCAACTTTCCTCCCTCGGAAAATCGAAGCACACAAAAACCAGAGAGAAAGAAGGAAACTTTAACTCCTTAAGAAAACGAAACGACATGTCGATGGCGGAGGTCACCTTCTTCCAACTCCACGACGTCGACGACGACCCTCCCGACCTCCCCTACTGGGCACACCAGGACCTTGACCTCTACTCCTCCGATCCCGATTTCCTTCAATCCGATCGCGCCCTCCGCCCCTCCCGCATCGTCACCGTCGACGACGACGGCGACCTGTTATCCCAGTACCAGTCCCCCGTCCACGTCATCCGCAACGACGCCGTTTTGGGGGAGCCCGATTCCGGATCCAACCTGACCAACCGATCGGATTTGCTGGACCGCCGCGAGGACCAGGTGAATTTCGTGATGGATCTGTTCCAGCAGCGGGTCGAGCAGTCGTCTCAGGTAAACGCTCGCAGTCCCCTTTTGGTTTCTGAAGATATTGACGACGAGGATCGTAGTTTTGGGGTTATTGAGTCGAATTGTGATGTGGGTATGGAGGGTTTGGACCTCGATTTGAGTTTAGGGTTAGGGTCGGGATTGGATTTTGGGAATTGTTTGGATGGGGACGGGATTGATGATCCCGAGGAGGATGATTTCTTTGTGGGGAGGAGGGTGTCTGGGTCTGAATTTGGTGAGGAATCTTCCAATTTAAGTAGGGCAGATGATGATGCTTACGAGAATTGCGTGAGGCTGGTTGGGTTCGGGACCGATTCGGAGGATGATGAGAACGGGGTTATCGGGATCGATTTGAATTCCGGGGATGAGTATGGCGTGCAGGGTCGTGTCCATGGTGAGAATGATGACGATACGAGCATCCCGCTGCGTTGGGATTCGTTTATTTTGGAGGACCATAGGGAAACTAACGAAGATTTCGAGTGGGAGGAAGTTGAAGACGGGGTTGATGAGAGAGAGGTCTTCAGTACGTTTATTGATCATGACATCGAGGAATCAGGACCGGTGGCAGTTTCAGTTTTGGCAATGGTGGCACCGGAAGAGGAAATGAGTGTGGAGAGATCCGAGCATGTGGATAGTTTGGAATGGGAAATTTTGTTGAATTCCAATACTTGGGAGATAAATCCAGATGTGGCGCCTTATCCGGACGATGATTATATTCACACTGCAGAATATGATTTGCTGTTTGGTCAATTCTCTGAGAGTGAGAATGCAACAGCGGGCAGGCCTCCGGCTGCCAACGCTGTGGTTGAAAGTCTCCCATCCGTAGTTTTAACTCAGGAGGATGTGGAAAAGGGCAATGCACTCTGTGCCGTTTGCAAGGATGAGATGAAATCGGGGGAACAAGCAAAGCAGCTACCTTGCACACATCGGTACCATGGTGACTGCATTGTGCCGTGGCTGCGCATAAGGAACACATGTCCTGTTTGTCGACATGAATTGCCCACCGCTGACGCTGCTTACGAGCGTAGAAGGAACCAAAGGCATGCTCGTGGGTCGAACGATGGTCGGGCAATGTTTTGAGATCTTCCTTCGGCATTAGGTATTCGAAAATGTAGATACTGCTGTGGTAAAGAGTTTTCATTTCTCTGTGAGGATGTTATAGTTCCTGATGCTTTGTCAGCATATACATTTTTTTGTGCTTGTTTCTTGTTGGAGGATGATTGTCAAGCATATAATGTAATAATATTTTGGTGGGTACTCAATTTTTGTCTTGTATTCTTATTTTTTGTGTGCTTTTTTCTTTTTACGATATATGCGATAAAATTCATCTAAACTACGAGATTGAAGATTTGAACTTGGGTACGTGTGCAAAAATACACGGCTCTAGCAGTTTTCTTTAACCCCTTTAGATTTGAAGGCATAAAACTACACATTTGGACAATGTTCATAGGTTTTTAGATACCTCTTGTTTTCTTTTCTTTTTTTTAACTTTTCTTTGATTGGAAAAGAAAAAATATATTTTATAAATAGAAAGTTAGGCATATTTAGGGTAAAAGTGAACAAGTAGGTTCACCAAATGCAAAACAATCAGACAAAATCAATTAGTAACTAAAGAACGGGGTCACCGAGTGATTGGAGCGAATTTCAGGTTTGTATTTTACACGGTTCATTCTGAGTTCAATTTCTAGCGCTGGTGAATCATATAATGGTGGTCAAGGGAGGCTAAAATGTCTCTAGGTTCTTTTCAACCCCCGAAAAGATAGATTGTCGTGACTTCACCACCAGCTGATTTCCTTTTCAAGTAAAAGAAATTAAAAACTCAAAAAAAAAAAAAAAAAAGGAATTGGTGGTGAAGACATCCATCCAATGTTTCATTACAGACATTGAAATCAAATTATTGGGTAAAATCCAAATGACTCATAAACCCAAATTTTTTATGTTTATTTTTCCATCCATCGTGCATAAATAGCTTATTAAAAACATAAAACAAAAAATATGAGCATGCGTGTTAAATTATAATTTGCAGTAAGCAAGAATGGATACTTTCAAAGGAAGAAGCCAAGTATTTTTCCGAAATCTTATCCCACTACGTCCCTTCTATTTTTTCTCGCCGGCCAATTTTAGTAAAAGTGTTTAAACACACAAGTTGGTGATTACGTAGATTAAGCAGATGTTAATGATAGTCAATAGATTGGATTAAGTTTTCAGTAATATTTAAGTGTTCAACCACAAAATCAAATGAAAATTATGTTTATAAGTCCAACAAATTCAGCATGAGGAGGATGGTGATGCCCATGATTTGCACCTTGTTTGTTTTCTTCACAAAATTCCTTTTGTTTCCAAAATTAGGGTTATCTTTTTTGGTAGATAGAGCCACTAAGTCAAACTTTATGCATGAGCTTTCTCAATCCAAACTATTGGTATTTATCACATAAATTAATCTTAGAAGTAACCTGCACGTGACTATCTGGTCTAGCGACATTCAGTTTTCAATTGATTGTAAAAGGCCTGATATTCGGCTCACACAAATCCAATGGCGAAGTAAAGTATAAGAATTCAATAATGAGTTATGGTATGTTGTAACTCGTATTTTTTGCCGCAACTTGGTTAACCCACTTATAATAAAAATAAACATGTCGGCTCACAGGGTTTGAGATTCGACTCACAAGGTTTGTATTGCATGGATTTTACAAGGTTTGTAATAGAGACCACCACTATTTATATTTGCAGCGAGTTCGATACCAAATTGTGACCGCAACCTATACGACTATATATGTTCCAAATATATCTTTGTAAATATCCTATTGTGTATAGAAAAGAGAAAAACCTAGAAGCAACCAAAAGAGCTTAAGAACTAAGTCTATCCAAAACAAGGACCCCTACTTATATAGCCATATTTTTCACTTTGCAAGGTAAACCTAACCATTTCATGAGATCACTTGTCTTCAAGAACTAGCCCTTCCCTTTACATTTTTAGCAAATCCTAATTACTCTGTTAATCACATTCCTGGCCAGACGTCGGAAGTAAGTAATGTGAGATTAAGACATCCATGTTAGCAAATCAAGGTGATCATCCGCTCTGATTCTTTCCTTAATCTCACACGCCTTTCCGAAAACCGTCATAATCTCCAGGTGCAGGTATTTGCCTTCAGATGTTGATATGAATGTGTAAAGACAAAAGATGTTAAACAACACAAATTACATGGCAAGAAGAAGCTTAATCTCAATTAATTTCTGATTACGTGAAGGTCAAGAAATGTATGTATATATATAGATGCTAGAAGCTCACTAAAAAATTACTAAAACCCCTGTGAATTCTTCTTCTTCTTCTTCTTCATGGAGCCAAATGAATCAAAGGGGACTCGGTACTTACCTAATCACTGCCTCCCAACGCATCCCCATCCAGATTCCATGCCGATCTACCCGCCTCGATTCTTCCCCGTCTCTCATATCCATGTTCCGGCCCATGATTTCTCACCAAACGCCTCGTCTCTCAGCAACGAAGCGGCCTTCGATGAAGCTGGGGAGCCGGACATGAACTACGAAAGAAAGCTCAAGAGAATGATATCCAACAGGGAGTCCGCGAGGAGGTCGCGAATGCGTAAGAAGAAGCAGATTGAAGAACTGCAGTATCAGGTGGATCAGCTCCACTCTACCAATCGCGGGCTCTCGGATAAGCTCATCCAACTGTTAGAGGGCAACCAACTGATCCTCCAGGAGAATGCTCAGCTAAAAGAGAGAGTTTCTTCCCTTCAAATCGTCCTTGCTGATCTCATAACACCTCTGAGGAATGCCGGAGATGTCACAGGTAACACAAGTGGCAATCGACTTAGAGCCGAAGACTCAAGTACGCCATGATTGCCTGCCTCCCTACTACGGAGAATTCCACTTTGCTTCATCCGGTATAGGGGTGCAGTAGTATCGATGCGTAAAGTTTTCCCTCTTCCTTTCTTCCCCTGCTGTCTTTCTACAGGTAAAAACAGTTAAAGATACACGAGTTTAAATGGTCGATGTAATTTGTCAGCGATTTGCACACATACGATGTTATCATTCTGTAAATTGTCGTCGATTTGCATCCTCAACTCTACGTTACATCCATATGATCTTATCAATAAGATGGCAGGTATCCGACCCTTTTCGGTACAAATGCATACATCGACAGTAGATATAAGAAACTTCTGATAACTCGATTAGAGATTTTCAAAATTTTGGGTCCATGTACTCCAAGTCATTTGTTAGCGTGCATCAGAACATTCGTTTATGAAACAATAGATATAAACAGGCCCTGAAAATCGAAAAAAAACCTATCATCAATCGCTTTTCTTTACTTGATGCTTCCCATTTGAGACGTTAGGCGAGGTTTCTGCTGTAGCGGTAAAAGTTGAAAAGATGTTGCTCTGTTCTTCAAAACCCTGGACCGGGTCTGCATATGAGAGGGTGCAAGGCCATCTAGACATAGAGGAACTAAACATGATTAGCTTCGGAAACAGCAAGTGAAATTCAATTAAAAAACACGCTTCAATATACTCTACCTGCTCGACTTTATAACCTGATCATGTATTGTCACACTCTCATCAAAGATGTTGCCTGCAAGAACGAAGAAAATTAATTTTGAATAATTCAGCGACTTGCACTCATTGTACTTTGTATACATGTATTAAAATGAACCCGCATCATAGATTTAAGAAAATGTTGCACACCTCCATATAGGTTCGTCTTTGAGAAGTATTTTGCAGTCAACCAACGACTGTAGTCCACTTCATATTTCTTGAACTTCTCGATGTGGTTTGCGCTATGGAGGTCACTAACACAAACAAAGGACATAGTTTATCATCCAGGCGCTAGGCACAGGTTCAAATTCATGATATGACACGCAAGAGAAGTTAAGGCTCATTTTAAGCATGAAATATAACTGAGAAGCTAATATCCGGCAGCAGTGGGAAAAACTTTTCCGCTAAGCTGCACCGAGAGGAGAGCTGAATATGAAGAAGACATCGGTAGGAGCAAACTATAACAATGACAATTATAAGTCTACGACAGGGAAAGAGTGATAAAAAAATCAATGGGGTGTTCTGTTAAAAACTAATTACAAAGACTCAATAACGTATCAGGGTTACAGCACCCCTAGCATCGGAGCCATTGGTTATGAAAGTAACCTGATACGTGATAGTCCTAGCCCCTTAGAAATACTTAAAACTCATATGTCACGTGCATTTTGAATAACTGAGCTCATAAATGGTAGATCAACCAGGCATCAGTAAGCCTTTCTAACGCTCCTGCATCACACAAAGATCTAATTTGTGCACATGAAAACCCCCTATCACCAACCATAACCAATTCCAAGAATTTTACAATTACAGGGAGAAGAAATAAAGACAAAGCACAATGTAATAGGCATGTGAGCTTCTAGATGGAATTCCCATATACTCTACATTTTTAACAAAAGGGAAGATAGGTCAATGATACCCTACATGTGTCTGCGTTGGAGGTCAGGGGATGTTGGGGTATCATTATGTAAACCAAAGAACCTCCTCAGTTTAATTTAAGAACGTAACGTAGTACCTTCTTACAATGAAGTGGTTAATAATGTCGATAGAGACTTCATATCGCTAAATTTTGACCACTATGGACTGCTAGATTACAACAGTTGTAATTAGGGAAATTTGTGGCCGATAAAGACTACCATTTCTGTTTGTGTGTGTGCAAATGCAAAGGAGAGCGCAAGGCTTAGAACTTAGAAGTGTAAGCTAGTGTAAGGCCCGGAAATTCAAATTCTGAAAATGGGAAGAAGTAATCGTGAAAATCAAACAAATAGAAAGTAGCACTACTATGTTCTCAATCACGAAACCATTAAAACACTTAAGCATACTAAAGCGCGGAAGATGAGAGAGTCTGAGAAGAGTTTCACAACTGAATTTTCAAAGTAATAGAAACCACTCAAACTACTGAGTCCACTGTACAAATAACTAAAATCGATCATGCATTGCAGAAAATCATGTCAAAACGATCCACACAAGATCCATTCTTCGATCAATCTTTAGGTCGCAATTATCTGTAACATGTTCTCCCTGCAGATAATTAAGCTCTTCCTATACAATCTATTCAATTTTTGGGAAGTTTACTCGTAGCTCATTCCCATAATTCAGGACTACGCAAAAATTGGAAAAACGAGTATAATTAATAAAGTCAACAGCTTCATTAATTTTCTTTTACCTGGAAACCAATTCACACACACTTAGCAAAATACAAATGACAAACACATAAACAAGCATAAGTCTCTGAAGAATTGCTACCGAAAACCAAACTTACAAGTTAAGCCAAATAACCAGTAGAGCAAATTACACACAGCGGTACGAAAAATTACATCATTTTCACTAAAATTGAATCTACTGGGAAAAATAAATACCAAAAAAATTGAAAAATAATTACTAAAAAGAGAAAATAATGGCATGGTAATTGCAAAATACGTTCCTCAACAAGGAATATAAGCATGTAAGTTGAAAATTTGAAATATTCAAACAAAAAATAGAAGCGAAAATCGGAAGAAAAGAAAGAGATACTCACTCATAATATGCAGAAACAATACCAGGCTTCTTCTCCTCGGCATCCAGAACTCCATTGTTGGCTCCAGCTTCAACCTTCAACGTATTTAAAATACGAAACGGTGAAAACCCATAAGAAATCATTACACAAAACCATATGTGTGTGTGTATATATATATATTATACAGATATACGTATAGGAAGAGATGGGGAGACAGAGAGAGAGAAAAAACCTGTGGATTTGGAGGAGAGTGAGAGATGGGTCGAGTGGCGGAGTTGTCGGAGCTAGAAGCAGAGGAGGATGGCGACGCCGGAGACGACGGAGACGGCAAGCTCGCCATGCTCACAATTTTGCTGTTGCTAACAGCTAAGAAACTATAACAAAGTCCACAGCCAAGTGAAAAAAAATCGTGGCTTTGCAGTGTTTTTCTTTATTATTTATTATTATTTTTTAATTTTAGTTTTATTTCAGCGAGGAATAGTTAAGAAGGGATCCCTTTTCTACCAAATCCATCAAGTTCAGAATCGGAACCGTTTAAATTTGATCAAATGACTACCGTTATTATAACTTTTAAAGGGCCCTGTTTGTAGTATTTGTATCAAATTTGAATAGGCTGATCCCTAAGGGCCCCTGTTTGTAGCCTTTGTATCAAATTTGAACAGTCTGATCCCGAATTTGGTGAATTTGATGGAAATAGATTCAGAGATGATCCCCTTCCGGATAGTTATTGCAAGCCCAAGAGGTAGGGTTGTCAAAGTTCCCAATAATAAGAAAACTAATTAAAGGGATAAAATAAAGGTTAAAATGAATAGTACTGGGATTGACATTTTAGTGTAAAAATGTGAATTTTCTTTAAAGTGAACAGTATCATGATCTTTTCGTTAAAATTTTCAATAATGGCATCTCTTGCTTTGAAATCGTCCTGTATACCCGTTTAATACTTTAAAAATTAAAATTATATGGTTTTATATAAGTTTTTGTTTAATACAGGTTTTTTTTTTTTTTCATTGTTCATAAAAAAAAGAAAAAAAAAACTCTTAGGCGATATGCTTTATGGGACGAAATGGCCAACAAATTTTCAGTCAGACAACTCTCTTTGCCGACAAACCAATTTTTCAATGAAATCGAAATTTCTACAAATGATTCCATTGGCATCCCAAGATAGAGGCCATGTAGGATCAATAAATCCTTTACTTTTGAAAAGTCAGAATATATTTTTCGTTTTTGCTAACAAAATTAGGGTTTAGGATAAGAAATACAAGCCACGTAAGGTGCGAAGAGTAAACGCCCTTAATTATTTAAGCCTGGAGATGATTATTTCCAATAAAAAAATCAAGGGCGAGATCGTTCATTAGATTTTGTCCTCTTGGAAATGCACTTTGAAACAGTCAAAATTAATCAAATAAACTGATTAAGTACAAAACCTTAACTACAAATTATTGAAAACTTTTAATCTTTGTAAGCATATATGGATTAGATGAGTTGATCAAGACAGTGTGCTTGTCGCCCTTTATTCAAATTCGAAAACCTCTCCTTGTGTAAATGTTATGGATCTAAGATATGATACCAATATACATGTTATAAAGTAAACAAATTGGTAACACAACGTGACGGTTGACGGAAAAATTATTGTACAAGCAGGTGTGATGCTAATTAAGGGCTTGTTTAAAAGTGGGTTAAAATGACTAAAGACATTTTTGGATAAAAATGTTTTTGATTTCCAAAAACATTTCACAAAAAACGCTTTCAATCATTTTGAAAATAGTTCCAAACAAGCCCTAAATGAGAGGAAAAAAAATCGCTATTCTGTTATGTAACTAGGATATCAATATATATACTTCTTTAATCGAAAATAATTTCCGCACACCTTTTTCTCCATTGAATTCGAAAACCCTTTTTCTCCATTGAATTCGAAAACCGGTTTCCTCCTTGCTTTAACAATAATCTCCACAAGAACAAAGGCCATCTTTTAAATGATGGAAGCGTTTATTCTCTCACAATTTTCTCCCTTTCAACAACTTTTGATATCAGCTTAGCCACAGAAGCCATAGTTGAGATGCCTGTTCGTGTGGAGAGGATAAGACATTGGCCATAAATATTACATAACAAACATGTTTGAGTAAGGGAGCGGAATTTGAACTCGAGTGCAAAGCAGTAGGCCCGGCCAAACAAAGAGCAACTGATTTAACTCACACATGCAGTCGTCGAATATTTTGGTATTGCTTGATCCTGTGGTAGATGTACAATTTGCTTACAGAATACTCCACAACAAAAAAAAAAAAAAAAAAACTTCCACTTCCGATAAATATGACCACAAGATATAGCAAAAATGGAATTTTAGCCCTCCCAGAAGAAAAATAAACGGGAAAGCTAATAATACGGTTTTAGAGGGAACCAAAGTAATCTTTCAACAAAGAGAAGATGGGGTTGGCCTGAGAAGCTCCCTCCAGTCTCTGAAACATGATTCCGTCCATTCGGGCTTGGACTCCGTCGGAAAACGTCAACTCCTGCAGCACTTCCTTCATTGTTCTATCCACTCCAACCAATGTAGCCCCTATGCCACTTAAAAGTTCTGGCAGCGTCGGGGAAGGTCTTGCGAGCTCCACGAGCGCAACCTGGCACCACAGTATGCACCACCATTAAAGAACATCCCAAAGAAAGGATAATACACTCAAACACTCAAAGTCGAAATTAATATTAATAACCAACAAATTTTGTTGATGACCACACCTGTCTGTCTTGGGGTATATTTGCCTTGAGCTTTGCTATTGCGACAGCACGAGAAAATCCGCCAATAGCATCAACTAAACCTCGTGATGCTGCATCGTTACCAGTCCAAACTCTTCCTTGTGCAACCTCCTCCATTTTATCTACCTGGCAACACAACAAAAGAGGGACACTTTAATATTTCAAATTAACAGAAGGAAAAGTATGTGAAACCAAAACAAAAAATGAATTGACCAGCATACAGTCATCGATCTGGAAAAAGCTGCCTTGTCTCGAAATTGCTTATATGCATTCTGTGCAGACTTAGCAAACAGTTCAGCTTCTTCTGGTCTGTATTGGAAAAGAAAATGTTGAGTTTGAAATTTTTGCCATTTATAGAAATATAGGAGACATTAGATACTCTTGGCAACGAATCTTTTTACCTGAAGGGTCGTTGTTCAGCTGCAAGAACTTCAGCATATTTTCCCCTTGATATGATTTCTTTGTTGAAGCCAATCCTCTCATACAGTTTTCCCAGGTTAAACTTTCCTATAAACAAAATTCATATGCAAATACATTAAAAAATGTCACACAATTACGTAGTAGATGCGTGTCTGTCACTGTTTTGACCAGCGTCGTTATACAATATAGATCAAATGGGGCTGCAGTGTAGAAGCAATGCAGACTAATGCCTTCGCCACTTGGCTAATTCAATTTATGATTATATAAAGTCAAACTCACCTGTCACAACTCCAATGGAACCAGTTAAGGTTAGATTTTCTGCAACAATGGTGTCTGCTGCCATTGCCATATAGTATCCTCCACTTGCTGCCACATCAGACATCGATGCAATGACAGGTTTTGATGCAGCCAAAAGTCTGATTTCCCTCCACATCCTGCCCGACATAAACACATCAGGGCAAGCAGTTAATCGTGTGCACCCATAGGCACACAAATACACAGTTTCTTCTACACAACAGTACTTTCCAAAATATCAACAATTTATGGGGCAAAATTTAACATGTAGAGTTTTATGCAGCTAAAATAACAATAACTGTAATACCCCACTTGTCCAAACATTTCGCCTTCATTTTACTGATATTGTAGTTTCAATCAAAGAGAATTATCTTCTTTATCAGGCTCATTCATCATAAGCAGACTAGACAATGAGCTAAATAGAAGCATCATCCGTTTCCCCAAATCAGACCCTTACTGCTGCAAGACCCTGTTTTAAGCCATGCTAGCACCCAAACTCTACACTATGTGGACATTGCGGATGAGAATATCCATACTCATTCAGATGCTCGGGATGTTTCCCAATTACTATAAATGTACACTAATAAATATACGCATGAAATTAAGCTTAAAATATACTAGCACTTACAAATCAGAAGCAAGAGCATCACCTCCAGGGCTGTCAATTCGGATGATTGCGGCCTTATATCTTTTTGATTCTGGAATGGGAAAAATATCAACATGATGGGTAAAAAAAAATGAGATAGCAGTAACCAATGCCGAAGGGTTTCATATTCAGCAACTACAAAGTACACAATTGCGCATCATTGGTCTTGTTACATGTCACTGCTTTCTATAAATGATACGATACTGCAAGTAAATGGAACAAATTTATCTACGTTCATCGAGTTACTCCATGTAACTATGTAAGTAGTGTTAGTGACACATGCAAGAACTATATAACAAACTAATCTCCACAGTATAGCAAACCATAATGTACATCCACATCTTGTATCTTATAAAGCCTCTGCAAATGCATCAAAAGAAAGAAGGACACCATGCTAGGCAAATGAACTTCCATATGATAGACCACAGTCACCATACCTCTCACACTGCGAATCTTCTCAATGAACTGTTCCCCAATAATACTAGAACCGGGAAGACTTAAACCGCCTCGTACACGAGTAATGCTGCCTGATGCTCTAATTATGGCTATCTTGTCTTTACCGCCTGATAATCCAACAGTCCATTGCCGAACCCTTGAGTACTTTCTGTTTTAATAACGAAAAAGAATGAATAAGTAAGGAGAGGGACGGAGGATGGTTAAACACACACATATAGAGCATCTAGTGGACATCAAAATACTAGTAATTGAAGGCCACCAATAAGAAAGTTAACTACTTGTAATCAACCATAGGAAGAGTTTTTTCTTTTTGTACTCCAAGTCTTTCCTTCAACATTGAAATAACCTGCAAGGCCACCAATACTATCACAACGATGAATGAATACTGTTTTGCACACAAAATATGGGACGTTCATATCAAAATACGGACAACAGGATAATTATAATTAACATATCAGAAGACAGAATATAACACTGGAAGACAATTGAATGTATGTTTGTATGTCATTAATAAACTAAGGTAATTTGTAATTACCAGGCCATAGAACTTCAATATACTCTGACAAACTTGAAGAGCGAAACTGAACTTTAGAAAACTCTCTCAAATTTCTCGAACTATGTTACTTTTTAAAATGTCTGGATCCGAAATACTTTGAAACAACCTTCTAAGTCTTCTTAGTATCAAATATTCCAATGGTATTAAATTTTGATTATTTCTAAACATACATCAAACGTCAACTCCAAATCAAAAGGAACTAGAACTCCATACCTCGTCATCATAATGTATGTTTGTGATCCAGCCTTCTTGTTTCAATTTTTCTACTTGGTAGACTCCTTCATTAATAAAATTCTCGATATCTTCTCTTTTCTTTCCTGTTGAAAATTTTCAGAAGTCCATCAGTTCCTTAAAGACTTGAAGATTGGCCAAACATCAAATTACAAAGCACCTCTCGTGGAAGAAATCACATCCAGCCAATTCCCATATATATTATCAAGCAATGCTGTCAGCATCTCACAATTCTCTTTGGACATGGTTTTGCGTGCAAGTTGATCACCGGCACTTTTGTATTTACCAATCCTTTCCACTTGTGGCTCGATTCCAACTTTCTCAAGAACACCTGAAAGAGAGTATGACAATTCCCTGCAACATGAGCTAATGAATAAGCATTTTCTCACAACAGAAACAACGGATTTCAGGGAAACTGACCTCTTATGAATGAGGCCTGAACGGTTAGACCAAACAAAGAAAAATAAGCACTTGGAGGTGCATATATCTCTTGGCACGCACTAGCAAGGTAATACTCTTTCTCTCCGCAAGCCGGTACATAGGCCACAACAAATTTACCTGCCACAGTGAACAGTCCATATGATAAGTTTTTTCTCCTCGACAAAGCGACATTCTAAACTACTCTAATAACTCGAGCGCAGGGGGGCGGGTACACTTACAAAAACAACATCAACAAAGCCTTATACCACTAAATGGGGTCGGCAGTATGAATCCTATAACGCCACTACGCTCGGTTTGGCGCCAAGTCTAAGAAAAACATAATGAAAATTAACAAGTCACAAAAAGTACCTGATTTCTTGAAATCCAAGATATGTCTTCGGATTTCTTCGACTTTGCCCCAACCACAATTCAAGCTTTCAATTTGGAGATAGACACCGGAAATTCGAGGATCGTAAGCTGCTTTAATCAAATTCTCACAAAGTTGAGGCAGCGAAAGTCCACTCGAAAATCGACTCTTCAGCTGATCAGATACCTGAAAAACGCCAATAAAAAAATAGTAATTTAGAAAAAAGTCAAACAGAAAAATGCTTTTTTCAATTGCAATCCCCGAACACACAGCACAAAAAATGTAACTTAGAAAAAAGGCAAAACCTGGCCGCGCAATTTGATGGTCAAGACGCTGCCTTTCTTGACGCGCTGCCAAGGGAACGCAATGAGCATGCGGAGCTTGACGACGAAGCTCTTCCACGCGCTCGCCTTCTCGAACTGAAACTCGCCGCTCGGATACTCCTTGTCTGCTGTTTTGGATTTATTTACGATCTCGCCATCGCTCTCCTTCGATTCGTCTTCTTTGGTATCCGTCGACGACGGAGACGAGTCGAAGGCGCGAGCCGAGATGCTGCGCAGAGAAAGAGGGGGAGAGGGAGAGATGAATTGGGGGCGGAGGCATAGGAAGCGGAGGGAGGTGGGAGTGAAGAGAGGTTTGGAGAGAGAGGTCGAAACGACGGCGTTGAAGGCGCGGCGGTGGATCGGAGAAGTGTGGAGAAGAATGAGCTTCGACATTCCTCTCTCAGCTCACTGTAACTGTGAGGAGGACCGATGAGAAGAAGGAAGAAAGAAATGAAGGGGATGGCAATTGGCAAAGGTTAGATTTTGTCCACGTCACCACTTGTGGTTTTGTCGATGTGTCGTATCCTGGCGCGCTTTTTTGTTTCCTTATTTCCATTTTATGAAATTACAACGAATTTGCCCTTGCACATATTTTTACTTTCACGTACATTTGTTGATTATTCCGCCGTTAATTTTCGTCAATTCATTTAGTTTAATAGTAAAAAATTAAAAGAATGCGTGAAAAGTGAAAATAATAGTGTGGGTAGCTGACGTTTCACATAAATGTCAAATGTTAATTTGATGGTTGAAGTGGTAATGTCAGATTTTCTCTTTTTTCAACCAATATGTTTTTTTCATTTTAAATGATATTTGTACGATATATTTTAAAATGAACTCAATTAAAATAAAGTTTCAAGATCTATAATTTGTGCATTAATGGGATTTACACAATAAAATAATTAAAAATTATTTGACATCATATTTTCTCATATGTCAAATTTGACATATGAAAACTTAGAGTATCTCCAAATGAGATGTCAAAATCCTAAGTGGAATGCCACTGCGCATATTTGACGTTAAAAGTTTCTTCAACCGAAGTGTTATTTGCTACGTGGATTTGAAGGCTTAGTGATTTGATGTCAAATTTATTTTTAGTTCATTTTAATAGTGGGTTCCTTATTCCACTAATATTTCAATAACATTTGAATAATAAAATAACATTTAACAATTCAATTGGAGAATTACAAAATTTAACATAAGGTTTCAGATTGCCACATCAACTATCAATTGTAATTTAACTCTTATAATTTGACATTTCCTTTGGAGATGGTCTTATATGTCAATCCATATATCGGTTGGAGCTTACTCCCACCTTAAAATTTGATTACATGGAATTCCACTTAAGATTTGACATTTCCTTTGGAGATGGTAAAGGATGACAATTCTAACTATTAAATTCGATAACCGTCCGAATAAAATAAATTTGCATATGAAAGTTCTGGTATATTTTGGATCAAAAGTCGCATTTGTGTGAAAGTACAAAAGTTTTGAATCGAAATCAATGAGAATTCAATGGTGCGTATGAGAGATACCAAATATCAATCAACATCATCAATGTTTTAAATTCAATGCTTTCGTTTTTATATTTCACAAGACCAATTCATTGAATGACTTTATACATCAAATGTTTAATGATGAAATTAATATATACTAAACTATAATGCGTCAACTGAACAAATATATTTTTTGTATTGACAAACATAGATAAAATCGTTAACCAATGAGGAATCCGTTTCCCCGATGGTTAATTTGCAATTATGGATATGGTTAATTTTAATGGATATAACATTTCTGTTCACAAACCGAACCGTTGCCATCCCTAGTAGTACTACTCATTTTCTTACATTTTTTTTTTTTTTTACACAAATGATATTATATACACTAAGGAATGGAGAAGCGGACTAGTCTACAATGAGTTAGCACTCTTTTTCTTACTCTTTAAATATCAACATAAATAACTTTTACATTTTACCAGACAAGAAAACGTTTGAAATTTCCAAAAAATTGGCACAGATACAAGAGTTGGATGGTCAAGTTGCCAGATCGATAGCACGAGAAACAAACCCTAGAAAATTTCTGAGATACAGCTTTTAGGTTCACAGAATTTTGGGTCGTTGGAGGAACTTGGTTTTCTTTGAGAAGAACTGAGTAAGTTAATCTCAAAGGTACATACATACATACATACATACATACATACATACATACAGACCTTTGCTTTTGTTATGGTTTTTTCAATTAATTAGTTAATTTACACCTAAGTCAAAGTCTTTTCTTTTTGTTTAGGGTTTCTTTGTTCAGATCCGAGGATTATGTATTTTTTTTTTTTGTTGAATTTAAACATCCCAACTGTGTTACTCGAAATCAAGATAATGCAGAAGATATTAAAGTTTGTTCTTTGTAAATTTCGGAATTTGAATGCAGTCCAAATTTTTGTATGTTCGTAGGGCAAGGTGGAAGACGACTTGATGAGTTTAAATTTTGAGTTTTGACTACGATGGAAGACGACTCGTTCAAGGACGGTCTGTCAAGAGCAACAAAGTATCTACTAGAAGCAGGTTGCATTAGGGTACGGCGCAAGGAACGCGTCACCCGCTGTGTTAGCTTACATCTTCAGACCATCTTCGATCAACTGGTCTCGCTCTACATTCCTCTCTTTCAGTGTCAATGGCAACGGTTAAAGTATCTATTCGAAGAGTCTGCCCTTCCATCAGGCATAACTCCGCGGACTCATGCCACAAGATGTTACATCTCGGCATGGATACACGATCTGTATGTTTCAAATCGCGAGGCTGTCCAGACGCTATGCTCCATTACATTTTTAAAGCATTACTCGCACGAAGAAGTTTATTGTTCATCGGAATATGATGCCTTTCTGATTCATCTGAATGCAGATATTCGGCCTACTCACATTAAGGGCACTCCGGAAGATACTGTATATGTTCCTGTTCTCAGTGACAGTCCAGCTTGGGGTACTGATAATCCATTCAACATCGAGAACTTTGTTTTGGATCGTAATTTGGTTCGAGGAATTATTGCGAATATGAAGGGATATTGGAGAACATCAACCGTTGGATCAGACAACCTAGGGAGGCCATTTTGGCTATTCGACTGGCACGAGGACTGCAAGTGTTGTGCTTGGTTTCCTCTCGAAGGAAACTACACGATGGAGGATGTCAGGGTTGCCTTTATACTCGGAGCTGCCTGTACTCCCAATCTTGGATTCAGAGATGTTGATGATTGGCAAAACGGAATTGTGCCTGAAAATGTCAATCCGCTTGTCCTATGACCGTGTTAACGATCGACATTTTTATGGTGGTTATGAGGTGAGGACCATTGAAAGAAGGCAAATTGTTGTAAAACTTGATGAGGAAACATTGGACCGCGTCCTTGAAGATTATCGTTTTTATAGTGGTTATGAGGTCGGAGATGGTAAACAAAGGCAAATTATCCCAATATTTGTTAGGGGAACAACCCAAGGCCCTCCTCCGAACAAAAGGAAGAAGACCAAGGACAAGGTTTCCGTTTCAAATGCTGCTATACAGACTGGAAGCGAATACTCCGAAGCCATAACCATACAGACTGGAACCGAGTCCTCCAAAGCCACAGCCAGACAGACTGGAACCGAGTCCTTCAAAGCCACAGCCAGTACCACAGTCGACCAGTTCCAGATAGTGGATTGGTCCTACTATCACCGTGTTATTCTATGCATGGATTCCGATACAAGGTCCCATTCACTGTGGGAAATTGTGCAAAATTTGGATTGCTAGTGATAAATTTAGGTAGCAATGTCAACATTTAGAATCTTGAGTATGTTTTGATGTTTTGGAATGTCGAATTCTGTGGCAAAAGTGCTTGAGACATTGATATTTTGCAACTGATTTGCATTAGAGTTGGCTGTTTTCTGCATTTTTCTGCTCTTTCAGCATATGCTGGATTGTTTATCCATGGACTCTTGCCACCAGAGCCCACATCTCTGCATGCATCCGCGCTCTATACATTCCAAATCGTAAGGCTGTCCAGCCACAATGATGCACCACATTTTCACAACCTTGCCGGCACAAAGAACATTACTCTTCAGACAGGTACGATCCATTTCTCGTTGATTTGAACGCAGCTATTCGCGCTACTCACATTCAGGGCACTATAGAACTCCCCTCCTGGCCGTTCGATTGGCATCAGTAGAAGTGTTGTGTTTGGTTTCGTTGTCAATAATATTTTGGTTGCCTATCTTATCGGGGTTGCTTCTTCTCCAAACCTTGGTCCTTGAGATGTTGACGATTGGCGAAACGGTTCTTTGGCTGAAAATGCCAACCCCTCAGATTATGAACGTATTTTAGACCGGCGTTTCCATGGTGCTTATGAGGTCAAGACCCTTGGACAAAGGGAAGTTACCGGCCAAAGAGATCAAACGCAAAATCTCCCCATAGTTATTGAGGAGACAACGCGAGAATCTCCAACCAAAAGGAAGAAGACCGCCAAGTCCATGACCGCTACCTTAAACGATGCGACGCAGAACGGAAGCAAACCGTGTGAGAAGGTGAAGTCACAGGCTACACAGCCTGCCAGTTTCGGCTAACATTTTGGTCATCTTCCCTTATGGTTTCACTTGAATGTATCTGCAACTTCTGTTCAAGGCTATATTATTAAGAACATTAACGAAAAGCTTCCGATACTGTTCGTTTTAACGAAAAACTTCATTTTAAAACTAAAAATCAGTCATAATATTATTCACTTTACCTTTTATTTTATCCTTATCGTTAAAATTAAAAATTTTAAATCATTTTCATTAATTTTTCTTATATTTTATGCAACTGGTTTTGCAGCAATATTTATTTTACTCTATCTATTTTCTACTCTATGCAGGGCGTCGTTTTTGAGGATTCGCTTGATGGGATTTGGATATGGATTTAAGTCTCCCATTTCGTGCATCAATAAATTTCTCTACGTCGCCCCTTCAACGAATCCTCAAACAATAACTCTAAAAGCCAATCCCATAACGAAACCATAGTCATAAAATTAAATTGTACCCCTATTTTTCTACCTGAGATACAATTGATCAGCTAACCCCATTACTAATTACCCGATTAACTACAAAATAATAGCAATTAGCTGATGATTAAGAACATCAAAAAACATCTACTTAATCAATTTCTTCTTTCCCAAAATACCCTTTTCCGGTTGGTTTCCGCCTCAGCGTTTCTTGCCGTGAATCAACAACGCCTTGTCTTTTTCTCCTCCTGCTTTCTCCTTCCACCTCTGGTTTGCTTCTCCTTCGCCGGCTTCTTCTTTCCCTTTTTCTCAGCAGCTGCCACGCCCTGTCCTGACCTAGATGGACGGCCGTGATGATGGCTCGGGCCGGACGAGGCATCAGAGACCATTGAATCGTCACTCTCTTCACCCTTACGATGACCACCATAATTTTCTCCACCTTCATCGTCTTCTTCGTGATGCATGCCACCGTCGTTTTCGCCTTCCAGGCGGGAGCCAATGTACATCGTCCACCCGGATTCACTGCTGTGGCATTCCTCCGCACCTCCAAGCATTTTTCCAGAATCCATAACTGAATTTACAGATCAAACCCAACAGAAAACTGAATTAACAGAAACCAAAAGCAGGGGAAAACAGGGTAAAAAACAGAGGTAAAAACAACTAAGATTTCTTATTGTAACACGTGGATTGCCCTGTCGATAGGATCTTTCTCTTTAACCGACTGCGTCTCGCATTCAAACCCTCCCCTCTCCCCTTAGTTTAGCTCAAAGTAATAATATCACTTGTAATCAAAGCAAAAAAAGAAAGGAAATGTTCTTAGAGAGAGAGAGAGAGAGAGAGGAGAGAGAGCAAAGCTTACCAATCTCACATTTGAAAGCAACACCACAAAAGCCAGAAGCACTGCTCTCCCTCTACTTATACAAAAAGCCAATAAGCTGCCTGCAATAACTGAGAGTGCTACTACCACACTGCCTGGAAATCTAAATACCAATTAATTCTCCGGCTTTTTTACTGAGCAGAAAGACAGCTAGCTAGCTAGAAGCTGCCGTCAGTGAAAGTGAATAATCTATCCTGCACAAACCAAAGCTTAAAGCTTTTGCTATCTCTCATGAATTTGAAAGGACATTGGTGGTTGCTCACTCACTAGGGCTCATTGGGTTTCTCTCCCCAATGGTGAAGCCTTAAATGCAGATGCAGAAAGAAAAAACCAGAGAGAGAGAGAGAGAGAATAACATTGTATGAGTTCCATACACGGTGTTTTTAATAGGGAATACAATAGGACCTCCTCTCTATCTCATTTAGCTTTCACACCCTTATAAAAAATCCCTACTTGTCATTTAAAATGGAACATCCTTTCTCAATGGAACATGTTCGTTGTTACTGTAGTGTCGCAGTCTAATTATATATTGTCATTGTGGTGTCGCGGTCTAATTACATATTATTACTTGTTAAAGAATACAATCTTACATCAGAAAACTTAGATAGACGCAATATCTTACTACTTATGAATGAATGGTTACATTATTAATCATATTAAAGTCTTTTGTGATAAAATTTCACACATGTTGAGTTGTGCATGTGGTTAAGTTGAGATAATATCGATGTGATTAGTTGTAGACAACTGATCCGATTCTGAAACCTTGACAGTCATGTGTAAAAAAACTTTCCTATTACAATAAATTATTAGACCAAAACATCACATGACAATGAACCAGTCATGTGTAAGTCCTACTTCCTTCTTATAAAGACAAGAATTTGTATAACTAAGATCGTTGCGTCACAAACATACCACAAGTTGTTACATATTTTAACTTTCTCCTGTATAACAGTTTTGAGAGAAACGTCACATTAGCAATTCTCTTTTGTGTGAGTTCTACCTTGGAGTTGTAGGTTTTATTTGATCAATAGATAGGAACTAGTCAAAAACCTATGTCTGCTAGGGGTAGCTATGTTCTCCACCAAATTGATTGTTTTGATGATGTGTGTCTCCTAAAGGCAACGATTATGTCTTTTGTTTTGCTATTGGGGGAAGAGAAGAAAACAGAACACAGGTCCTAATCCTTTTAACAGCTCAATAATCCCAATGTGCAATCCAGCTTGCTATGTTAATTCAATATATTATAGTACCGTCGACATCGTTTCAAAAAATGGAAAGGATCTGGGAATTTAGGAATTTTGTAATCGTGATCGTTCATCATATATTATGTAATGAAAAATTATTTTAAATTTAAAATTAAATATAAATAGTACCTAATGAAAACTGATCAAACGATATATAATAAACGATCACGATCACGAAATCCTCAAGAAAATGATCCGGCTAGGATCCTTTTTCTCAAAAATACTATCAACACCCAAAAATTATATAAAATAATTTGTGATGTATTTCAACAATCCGAATTATTTTTTATACGTATTTTTGTAGGTTCATTTTATAATGTATTTAAACGATTCGAATTATTTATCTTTTAAATTTTCTTTCAAATATCATGTTTATAAAAAATCATTTAAATCTGAATTCATATGATCGTTGGATTTAAAGTTTAAGGTTTCTTTGTGGAACCGTATTCGTTTATTATTTTTTTACTACAAATGAATGTCTTAAATAGATTTGTCTAATTTTTGCAAAAAATGATATATGAATAATATTCTGAAAGATAAACAGTTTAAATAGTTAAAAATAAACATTACAAATGAGTTTCACACAAATATATATATGTTCAATTGAGTAAAAAAAGTGACTTTATGGATCCAACTAATAATATTATTATTTATGAATTATTATATCACTAATATTATATATTCATACATGCTGCCGCAAATATTGAAATTTCATATCAACTTATCAGATAAATCTTGAAGAAACCATGTGCTTGTCTTGTTATTTATTGCTCTCCTTCTGTGCTTCTTGTACTGCTTTCGCGAGGGCGTAAGTTTGGATGTGTGAATTTATAGTGATCCATCGGACAGATATCTTCCACAAGCAAAAGTAAAAGTAAATATTTACTTCTGCAATAACTCTTGAAACGACATACATTGTTGGATATCCAAATCTCATCTTCTTCTCTCTCTCTCTCTCTCTCTCTCTCTCTCTCTCTATGTATGTGTGTGTGTGTTAAATTAACACAAAATTTTAACTAAATTTTAACGTAGTTTAATCGCAGACGTTCAAATACAAAAGGACTAAAGAGAAGAAAAAATAGGAGGGGAAAGAATCTGAATCCTTCACTTTTGTAAGCCCCAATCAGTATTCCAATGCATGAGCAGATAAGGTGAGCGGCTGACATTATGAATGTGCAAACTCTTGAAGCCAATGGTAAAAGGGCAGTACCCTATAATCCGAGAATAACTCCCTTACAACGAGATGGTTCTATAACGACATTTTAAACCAATCACGAACTGTAATGTAAGATGTGCTTCTAGTAGATGTGATTTGCCTGTAAAATGCATGGATATATAATTGACAACTCATGCGATGGGGCCCTCTTTGATTAGGAAGGGACAAGAACAAAACGAAGTTAAAGAGTTTAATAATCCAGAGGGTTTGGGGAACACCATGCCCCCGATACTTTTGAGCAAGATTTTTGGCTGTTTCCCACTTCCAATTTCTCTTCAGTGGCTAGAATCGAACCACTTAGCTACCATACAACACACACATATATATACACACATATATATAATATTAGGAGGAGGAGGAGACAGGGGTGAGGCCCATGCATAATGTATTATTCTTGCTGCGTGTCCTTTTGCGTTGATCACATCCCGATTTGCTTCTCCCTTGTCTTCCTTCCCACGTGAGTACTGTTTTCGAAATCGGACAATGTTTGTCAACGCTGGTTTTCTCTTGATTATTGACACAAAACATCATTATAGAGAAATGTAGTTATGTCGTACAAGTTACTCTCAACCAAGAGAACATTTCTATGTAAAGGCTAAGAGTTTTCTCAATAAAAATTTCATGAGTGCATGTATGCACTCTATGCCAACACATATTTGATTCTTATATTTAACGGTCATCCGTCACTACGTTTAAACCGATAATAAAATTTAATAGTTTTAAGTTCAGGTAGTTGGGGCACACCGTGTCATTGAAATAAGCAATGTGCATAACGCTACAGTGACATTTTACTCATGTCATATAAATCTTTCTCGGCTTGAAGAGCGTTTGCCATCGATCTGGACTACATTGTACAGCCGATTGATGAAAACCCTAGATAGTAAATGCAAGCATGCCAAGGCACAGTACTAGTTGTATCTGTAGGAAATTTTACTCCGAAAATTTCATGGAAATTGTTACATATTTTGCATGAAATGTGACTATTAGTTTACGTGACATTGCATGCAAACTATGTACTCTTATTCGTTTAATTCTATGAACAAATAAGAAATAAGCTTAGGGAAGTTTTGACGGAAATAATGGAGGGGGTTTGAGCATTGGTTAATGGGTGTAGACAGAGCTCGAGCAATGTTCAAGGGAGCCTCTTAGAGCATCTCTAATGGAGTTTTTCGAATTAAGCGCTCATTAAGCTACTCCTCCAAATCTCTTGTCCTCTGTTATTTTTACAGAAATGAAAATTCAGTTTTCGATCAAAAAATTAGACTACTCCTCATATTGCTAATTAATTTTATAATGAAATCTCACATTTCTTCGTTTTAGGACAAAATAGTTGTTTTGCTGACTAGCGGTCGAAAATTAAAAATAATGTATATGTATAGCACCACTCTGTGACAAAGACGCTGCCTACAAGATCGAATATATCGTGTGTGTGTGTGTGTGTATCCTAGTATTATTCTGCGTCATATGTTGCTACTTAACCTAGCATCCACATGTGATACTAGAAATAATACATGCCTAACTCTAGTCAATATTCTTCCAAGAAAAAAAGATAACATATTCATTCTCAAACGTGCTCTTCTTTTTAAATAATTTTCTTGCTTCGAAAGACAATTGAATGGATTAAATTAGTACACACGAAATAAACATTTTGGTCTACCATATTTGTCTCCAGTCTAAAGTTTAACTCGAATGGATAAATGTGACGATAACAAATATATATTTGTGACGAATTTGTTACATAATTTAATGACCTAACGTTTTCTTTTATTTGACACTAATCTAATCTTAGACTCTTACGGTGAGGAAAAATCTAATCTGATATACCTTAGAACTTGGTTATTGAGCAGCCTTCTGATTGAGAGATTATCTATTACAGTTAAGATATAGTTTCAATGGTGTTACTTGTCCACTATATACTTGTCACATGTTCAGAAAATGTACCACATGTCTAATAGACGCTAACCACATCGAGAATTAATGATACGAGAGTGTCTCTCCTTGTGGCGTTGTAAAGTCCTTGCCAATATTCTATTATTTTGTTAAAACAGAGTATCATTGATTTGGGCCAATTGAATCGTCAAAATAAGCCCACGTTTCTAAATTTCACACAAAACATAGCCCGCTTAAAATCGGATACATCCAAACCGGGTCATCTTAGACTGCATGACCCGATAAAATATACCGGTCAAAAACCGTTGAAGTTGTTGTGCGTACGCTTTTCAAAAGTCAATCGCCCTTTCATCTTCCTCGAACACCGATCTACGACGCGTTCCGCCGGCTCCTCCACCGCCTCCGCCTCCGCCTCCGCCTCTGCAGATTCTTGGGTTTGATGGAGGAAATAATGGGTCTGTTCGGAATCAGTGATTTGGTCAAACTCAACTGGGAGGAGGAGTCGTACCCAGTGCCCAATGACTTCTTTGTCCTCCCCTTGTTCGTTCTTCTTTTCCCTTCACTCAGGCTCGTCCTGGACATCTTCTTCTTTGAGGTACAACTCCTGGTACTCTCAAATTTATCAGACAATTGAATTTTATTGTATTTTGGAACGGAACTAGTTTTGCACTCTGCAATTATTTGTGGGAGAACATGATTTAATTTCAATTTCATTCACTTGATGCTGCTTTCCTTTTTATCAACTACTGTCGTTTGTGAGATTTGAGCTCGTTACGTGCTCCAATAAAGCGGAGACTGAGTGCCGCTAGACCAGATGATCACGTGCATTCGCTTGACGTTACTTTAGAACCATCAAATTGTAGAAAATGGTAATGAAATTGGGTCTCAGGCTGCATTGTTAACATTTACGGTTTAAAGTTGTGATCTTTTTGCTCTTATTTTGTTGGGTATTTTTTATTCTTAGTATTGTCATTCATGAAAGTGGTGATCCTTTCGCGGTTACTGTTGAAATCCCCAAATGTATGCAATCCCACAGATTCCAATTTTGTGCAGAGATAATTACCATGCCCAACTTATTAGTCATATGGAAATCCTAAGCTCGGAAAACTTCTTTTTGTATCAATGTATGAGAAATGCAAATCTAACCATCTGAAGCTTTGCGTCGATATAATGTTGATCTACGTTACATGTTTCATTGCTTTGTGGGGGCTATCTTTAGTAGACTTGAAAACTATGGTCCTTACGGTTTGAATTGTACTTTTTGCTTTTTGTTTTTTTGGCAGAGATTAGCAAAGCGCCTTTTGTTTGGAAAGAAGCATGCATTGGTGAATGTTGAGACACGCGATAATCGGAAGAAAGTTAGTAAATTCAAAGAGTCAGCATTCAAATGTGTGTATTTTTTCACTGCAGAGATTTTGGCCCTTTCTGTTACATACAACGAGCCTTGGTTCACCAAAACCAGATACTTTTGGGTAGGGCCTGGCGATCAGATTTGGCCCGACCAGAAAACCAAGTTCGTCTCTTAACTCAGTTTAGAAATCATTGTTCAGTGTCAAAGTGAATAGTAGCTTTTGTTTACTTTGATTTCTGATCATATGTGTAATTTTGCTCTAACAAACAATTACCTTTTGCATCTCACCTGGCCTTGCATATCCCCTTTTGGCAGATTAAAATTGAAGGGACTTTACATGTATTCCGCTGGATTCTACATCTACTCCACCTTTGCTTTGGTGTTTTGGGAAACAAGGCGTTCTGACTTTGTGGTGTCAATGGCTCATCATGTAGCAACTACAATTTTAATTGTGGCATCTTACATATTCAAGTAAGTTTTAAAGCATCTCAGCTTGCTTCTTCGCTTTTTGTTTTTTCAGGCTTGCCTCTATCTTTTCTGGTGTCTTAATGATCTGTTTTGTCCCCCTGCAGGTTTTCTCGAGTTGGCTCAATCATTTTAGCTCTCCATGAAGGATCTGATGTGTTTTTAGAAATTGCAAAGTTGTCAAAATATTGTGGCTTTGAAATTCTTGCCGGCGTTGCTTTTGTTACTTTCGTTCTCTCTTGGACAGTACTACGTCTTATTTACTTTCCATTCTGGATAATATGGAGTACCAGGTTAGCTAAATATGCAGAGAGAAATTTTCTGTTTTCCTTTTGGCGTTAACATTGGCATAGAAAATATCATATAATTGTTGAATTTCCTCCTTAAATGACGCTTTTTTCTCGTAATGTCATATACAAAGATTGATTTTTGGTTCCATTTGTTTCTGGCAGCTATGAAGCTCTTCTGAAGTTGGACAAGGAGAAGCACATAGTGGATGGATCTATATACTATTACCTGTTTAATACTCTTCTAATTTGCTTACTCATTTGTCATGTTTATTGGTGGAAGTTGATGGTTCAGATGCTCGTGAAGCAAATTCAGGCTAGAGGGAAAGTTGATGACGATGTTCGATCAGGTAACAAGTTATTCAATTCATAGTTTTATAAGTTGGACAGATATCTTACTTGCATAGGGGAAAACGGTAATTGAAAAATAGGATTACCAGCTAGAAACCATGACAGCAACTGTCCGAAAAAAAATGATTCGAGGTTTAAGGTTGTTTGTTTTCAAACTAGCGTCATATGTTTCCCCTCGCTCACGCTACCTTTCACGTGGACTGCAGATTCTGAAGGCGAGGATGATGAACACGACGACTGACAGTAAAAAGACTGTTCAAACTCACCGGGAGAGTCAGCCAGGAGATAGGTTTGTGCTTTCACCATAGGGTAGCTCGTCGTGTGAGGTGCCTATGTATTCTTTAGATTACATTGAAACATTTTTTATGAGATCCATATGATGTCGTATAAACAGGCAAGCGAATCTGTTCGTCCATTTTTTCGTATTCACACGAGCAAATGTCTATGTATTGTTGATATCTGTAACACAGTTGAGTGAAGCGAGGAGGTAGGATGAAAAACCACCATAGTTTATTATACTAAAATTACTATCGTTCGAGTTGTAGTTGTATAATAAACAAGTTCTTGGTTTAGCGATATTTATTTTCTCAATAGTTGAAGACGTTCCAACTTCGAATGATTTGCGTCATCATTTTCGTTGTCCTTCCTTTCATCAATCCGATAAAATGAACAAAATAAACTGCTTTGTAATTAAACTTGCAGCTCGCTTAATGAACCGAAATTACTGTATTTTTAACTAATCGAAAGAATTCGAGCCAGGGGAGACGAGCAGTTTGATAACTTACAAGGTCGAAAATCAAACAGTTGACGATAGGAGCACGATAACGATAAACCAATTCACAAACTGCCAATCCTACAGCAAAAAAGTAAGAAACAGTGAAATAATGGAGGAGCTGCTATAACTCAGTTGCCCTATGGACCCTTGAGTACAAAAGAAAACACACGACGTAACGTCCGTCCGGCTTCAAGAACGTTTGCAGAAATGTGCAAAGTCGACGCGTGCAGAGAAAGTTCGTTTTCAGACTTTCTTTCCTTCTATATTATCTCAACTGGAGAACTTGGAGATCAACTTGTCCACATGTATCAGGATATCGTCAATGCGAGGACGGACTGCAGCCTGCGGCTGAAGCATCCATGTGATGAACTGGTGAAGAGCGTCCGGATATGGAGGATTAGGTCCAGCTGGCCACTTTATCTGCACGTTGACTATCGCCAACTGTAGGCTTCCTCCAGATTCGCCGAGTGCATATTCAAATGGAGACATTCCGTACCTTTTAAATAAAACTTGGGCATCAGAATTGAGAAAAAATAGCTACAGCAGCTAAATAGAGGCGTAGTTTTGCTTCTATGGCGGACAAGAATGATGCAGATCACAGTACCAATCGAGTATTTGGCAGTAAGCCGTTAATATGCGAGACAAAGGTGTCATGTCCATGGTAGATACAGTTATGTATATGTAATAGGTACGCATATATATACACATCAAAACAGCTTCTTAAACAATCCAACAGAAAACATTCACTAGTGAAGTAGTGAGGCAGAAGGCAAACGATCAATACGATGTTCAAACGTCAGAGCTATAATAGTAAGTTCAAGAAAGAAAGCTCAGTACTCACAGTATTGCATACAAAGTGCACCCTAAGGACCATACATCAGTCCTCTCGTCAATGTCGGCTTGGCTCGGGCAATCCCACAACTCTGGAGCTCGAAATGGTGCTGAGCAATGCTCAGACGCCCATTCCTACATAACAAGCAAGAAAAATCACTTCAATAGTTTTTTCAACTAAAAGTTACCAGACGAGAGAACCCAACAATACAAAGGTGTCCTTTGACGGTATTAAACCAATTGAAATCAAGGAGGTAAGTATAAGCAACATCAGTTTGTAGGCATATTAAGCATACTAAAAAAGAACAATTGCAGTTACTACATCAAAAATAAATGTGTTTAGAAAAATCTAAAATGATTTTAAAACATATACCTGCAACTGTAGTGCCTCTGTACGAGAGTGAATTTGCCTCCTCGCAGGTCGAGCACTGCCAAAATCCATCAACATTGCAAGAGGTGATTGTCCTTTTCTATGGGTTATCAGAACGTTACCAGGTTTGATATCATTATGTGCATATGGCGGATCCAAAGTGTGCATATGCTTAAGTCCTGCACAAAGCTGCGACATTGTTTTTTCTAGGTTAGAACGGTTCTGATGCTTCTAAATATGTTTTACCAACAAGATAAATCATCACGGGACATGGAAAAGAAATCAGAACATGGCACATCAATTGCCCCAGAACTTGGTAGCATTGTTGAAGGCTAATTTACAACGGAAAAAGAGAGGGATGATATATTCATTGACCTGCCGGAATATTTGAAGAACATCTGAGGTGGAAAAGAACTCCTTTTTAGCTTTCATAGTCTTGGCATTGTCCAGTAAAGTTCCATCCAGATGAACTGGAAATAACAAGTATGCTTCATGGTTCCAAGATTGTTCTTGTGTTGTCTGTCAGCCAGAGAGTATTATATATGAATCAATTGCATGAAAAGTATTAAGAAAACTGAAAACGATGTTCGATTTCATGGAAGGCTACCATTCTGAGAAGAAAAAACCAAAGTATTGTATAAGCCATATGAAATTAAGTAATCCAGATTTTAACCTTAACGGCAATAATGGCATGATCAAGAAGCGGAAGCAGATTGGGATGACTGAACAGCGAAGAAACACGGATCTCTCCTTCACCAACTCCAACTGCTCACTATTCTGAATGAGAACTTTTTTCATAGCATAAGTTCCATCATCTGCAAAAGAATAGAGTACAAGCAAGCTGTAATCATTTCCGAAATTGAATTGCAAACCGATCAATCACCTGAGCATCAGTCAAGCATAAACAGTAGGAACATGAAGGCCAAATCACAAATGCATTCATCAACGCAATCCTCGGCAAAGGTCACAGCATTCTTTGAAACAATGATATAGAGTCACAGATCAAACATTCATATCACCAAATAATCGACGCATGCTACCACTCAGCACATTCGAAGAACAAAAGAGTCACACTTTAAACTCGATTCAGCAAATTCACTGGCCAAATCTCCATTGCTTCCCAGCTCAGAGAATCAAAACCAATAATTTCAGATTCACATATCGAAATGACCCAGATCACTAATTCCTCAAAGATACAGACTTCAACCATTTTCGATTCACAAAACTTAAAACAGATCACTACCCAGATCCCAAAATCTGACAAACACATAAAAAATCAACAAATTTCCAGAAATTGAATCACCTGAGACATGAGAGGGATCCTTGAATTTCTTGGCGAGACCACCACCACCGAGGCGGAGGAGTCGGCGACCACCTCCTTGACCAAAAACACATAAGCGAACCCACCTTCCCCGAGCTGCCTCACGATCTTGAACCGATTCTCGTTAATCCACACGTCGCCTCCGCCGTTCACGGCGTCGTACAGAGCGCCCAAACCAGAGAATGTGCACCCCATCTGGTGTACTCGTTCTTCAGCTGCTGATCCTCTCTCCCTCTCGAATAAATAAATAAATCCAAAAACAAAAAAGGGATGTTTTCAAAAACGGAATCTAGTTTTCGAAAACGGATTCGGAAGAGCTGAGGAGTTCATGTCAATCAGTCAATGGAGAAGGAGGGTAATGTGAAGGAGTTTGAGTGTGATTTGGGGTTGGATCTCCCAAATGACAAATCTGAGCCAAACACATGGATGCTTTTTTTCGGTTCTTGAGTCACTCTCACTTCCCCTCCATTTTTTTCGGTTATGTCTTACCGAAAACCAACCTTTTTTGCTCAAAGGCTCAAAGCAATATAATTAGTTTTGAATTGTTTTTAAGAAATTGATATAAATTGATCCTTTCTCAAATTTCAATTTACTAAAACAATCATTTTTTTTCATAGATATTTGATGTTTTATGTCGTCAGATTTTTGGCCGTATGCCATCAATATTTATTTCTAGTCTAATTTTATTCAGGACTTTTTTTTTTTTTAAAAAGAAGAGTTTTTTAATCCCATCAAGAACCATATGTCATTAATATTTAATTTTTAGTCTAATTTTATTCAAAATGGTTCTTTTTAAAGAATTTGTTAATGCAGTCAAGAATTACACCCTCTTAAAATTCAAAATATTATCCATAATTCACTTATTTCGATTTTGTTATTGCTGAAAAAAAGTTGTGTTATATTTTTTGGTATGAAAATTTTAAATCATTAATCATTCGAGTTTTTACGGTCATAAAACAATATTAAAAATAATAATTAAACCCGTCATATGTAATGGTTAAACATCTTATTATCAATGTCTTAAAGCTCATAAGTAAACCCATCACATGTACTGACTAAAAGAGTTATATGTATGTCGAACGTTGGGGTTACAACTTGTAGCATTTAAAACTTACAGGTGAGTTGTCCCTGTACACGATAGTACGGTACTGTGACGCACGATTGATCAGTCAACCGTCTGACTGGAGATAAATCTCCTTTCTTCCAACTGCCAACTTCCAAGTGAGTAAGGATGCTCGCCAGATTCTTTCTACGACGATTCGAAGATTCTCAAATTATATTCGTTCATTGTATATTGTGCGGTTATAAATTAATGTAATTTTTTTATTTAAAATTGAATATAAACAATACCTAACGAAAACTGACCGTACGATAAATGAATGTGATTGAAGGATCCGGTGAGGATCCACTCTCCCAACCGACAACTGAAGTTAAAATTAAGCAATATTACCACAGTAAAAAATTAAGCAACATCACTTGGGATTCAGTTACCCTCAGTTGGCCAAATTTAGACTTGCAGGCAGGGAAAACCAGAAATTTACTGCTATGAAAATTTCATAACCATGAACGTGAAATAGTTGAAAGCTCTGTCAACGGAAAGATTTCACGAGAAAGCGAAAAAATTTCGTGCTGCAGTTAGCCGAAAACCTGCTGGAGCTACCGATCCTAAACCGATGAACTTAGATGTTTCACAGTAGTTCTAGAAATTGAAACGTTTAATTTGCACGCAATCGTCATATCAAAGACACTCAGCTGTTTCCGATGATGCAAAGTATAAATGTTATGCAACTCGATTGAACAAGATTTCGTCGTAGCAATATTAATACACCAAAAGCTCAATCAACAAGAATTATGAAAACGTCTTTGTCTCTAGAGTCTAGACCTAGGCACTTTATTACCTTGTACTTCGGAGGCTTGCAAGCCATACGCTGTAATGTTAGAACAACTCGGAGATTAGCGGTCTCTGCTTGAGTGAGTGCCATTCTATGTATGAAAGCAATCATTGTGGACATAATACTGAGTGAAACGCGTGGTTGTTGCTGAGTAATGCAGTGTATATTTCCACCCGCCAGAACAATCTCCCTTGCGCCTTCAATTCTTACCACCTGACCAATCCGACAGTATAAATTAGGCTTGTTCAGCGATAGAAAAAGCGGCAGAAACAAACATCAGTAAATATAAAAGAAGATGAATCCATTTTCATCTACAAACTACGTAAAACCGGTCTTGTTTGTTTCCCCTAGTGTTGAAAAGAGACCGCTTTGTATCATATTATTACTCACTTTCACAATGATATTAAGCCTAGCGCAGCATACACTAACGATACGTTTTACAGTCTCATGATTGCAGCTAATAAAATCACAGGGTGGGTGAGGCTTTATAATTTGCAGGTCCAAGAAGTTCAAACCTTTGGATGATGTATACGATTATATCTAAAATGTATATGAAGATGCTGGAGAAAATCAACAATAAATGAAGCTTACTTCATGGTTTGGAAAGGCTTTGGATAGGACGCGAACAGCCTCATCATCCCATTTCTGGTCCCCAAATTGGGGTGCAATGATGGCTCCATTTGCAATGTAGAAATTTACATATGAAGCAGCAAGTCTCGTGCCTGCAAGTCTCGGTTTAGCTTCGCACTCCTCCTGTAGGAACATTGAACACCAGGAATAAAATGAGGCACCAAAGCATTTCAAAAAAGTTAACAACAACGTAACCATCAAACTAAATCAACATTTTCAGATGTTAAATTAGCCTTCAGCTGGATGTATTCATACTTAGTTGAAGCAACATGAAAGTTGAACCGTCGTCTGTAGTGTACAATGTTTACCTGAAAAAGCCCAGCAGCCTCCTTCTCTGTCATGTATAGCGGCCCTGGTACGTGAAGTTTTATTATTTCTAATTTCCTACCCTTGGCATCAGTAGTATTGGAGAGAACAGAAACGGCTTCTACAGCTCTTTCATACTGAGGATCCGTTTCATCATCAGTCCACGACAACAAAACCACACCAGGCTTTACAAAACAGCACATATTGTCGATGTGACCATTAGTATCATCGTCTCCTGTCAAGGATTTTTATACGTAGTTTAGGTTTCAATGAAATAGGAGGCCTGAATTATATCTACTATATGCGAAGTCGATATAATGTAATGTAAATCATTGCAAGGGGAAGGAAAATTGAGCATCAATAACAACGAGCATTTCATGCAAGATAGTAAATTAGAAACCAAGTAGAGCTCTTACCGTATAATCCACGAGGCAACCAAATGATTTTCGTCACTCCGAGATACGCCTTAAGTTGATCCTCTATTTGCTCCTTGGTCAAATGTGGGTTCCTATTTTTATTTAACAGGCACTCCTCGGTGGTGAGGCAAGTCCCTGAAGAAAGAAAGCAGATTCTGATTCGATCATGAAGATTACAACTACATACTGGCAGAGAGAATGAGTTTTTGTAATGGCACTTTTTGTGCTGAAAAGAAAAATATGCAGGGTTCTGAACTTTTACGAGACGAGGCACATGGTAGTACAAATCATAAGCAGCTACTGCCAATTTTTGTAGTATAAGAATAAAGAATAATGAAACAGAAAGAGATATAGGGTGAAGTCTAAAGTGGTGTAATTGCCTATCAATCAAAAGCACGGTTTTGACACATAATTAAGAAACAACAGATTACAACAACGACCAGAGTCTCCCGTACATTTATGATCCAAACAGTTTCAAGGCATGGATCAGGGAAGTAATCTGCTGGCGGTGAAAGCCAATTCTAAGATAAAGAGGCAAGAAATTTCCAAATGCAAAGATAAGCTTAAAATTTTTGTTACCTTCTCCATCGACATGGATGCTACCGCCTTCGAGAATCATGGAGTGTTGAAACCTTGGAAGCTTCTCAATTGCCAGGATCTGCAGAGTATGAGTGTTCAGTGTCTCAAAGAACAAAGCTGTATGTCATGTTCAATCAGACAATGATCTATTTAGTTACTCTAACCTTTTGCGCCACAAGAAGATCATGACTCCAATCTCGATAACAACCATCATCAATGCCTATAAATTCCAAAAATAAGTCCATGCAAAATGCACCGATGAGTAAACATCAAAATGATGAAAACATTGAAGTTTCTAACGATATTACATATTGTTCAAATAAATATTCTAGTGTTACGTCACTTAAAAAATTATGAACGATAAACCCTACCTCCCCAGCTGTTGAAATTCCAATCAATACCAGCAACCTTTGGCTCTGGGGTACCAGAACAAGAGGCGCTTTTTCCTACGACAAACTAAAGAAGAGAGAAAAAGATTAGGACTGTAAGAAAAATAACGCTTTTAAAGGTAAATATAAAGATCATAGTATACTGTTAAGGAATATCTCATCAGAACTTGACCATGAGTCAAAGGAAGAAGCTCACTGTTGGTCCTGTATCACGAAACCACGAATCATTCAAACTCATCTCGACAACCCTGACAGTTTCTGGTAGCTGACTTCGAGCATTTGCCCACTGAGCGTAATGAATTCAAAATAAATCTCATATCATATAAAAGACTAGTAGAGATGCTAAGGACTTTCATCTCTTACAAATTATACCAACCTGATTGGCACTTGCACATACAGTAACGGGCTCAAACTTTGAGATTGCAGATGCTACCTTGGTAAACACCTGCTGATGCTGGCACTGCATTGTCTCTCCAGTTATCCGGGCGTTCCTATAATTCACAACAAAGCTTGATTATCATGAGTGTTGGACTTAAGATATAAGTAAAGATCAATACATCCATGAAACGAACATTTTAAGATTGACGATATAGATTTTACCAGAAAATGTTAGACTGATATCAATCTTTAGATAAATAATGCGAGCGACACCTAACCTACTAAGAGAGCCGAGCCCTAACGGTACAGAAACAGACAACATAGATCACTGGATACACCTACGATGGCGGAGTAGTATATCGAACCTTCACTTGCAGAAACAGGAAATTATGTGTTTCTGATAGGGTAAGAACTGAGAATTACTTATAAAATGCAGAAACATACCTCAGTATTTTCCGAATAACACGGAATTATCCTGCATTCTTATAATTACCATAGAGCAAGCTAGCTCTGCACTCGAAAATCGACTTTTCCTAGTAACTTGCAATTCATGATTTCACAAATCAATAGAATTTGGCAGAACTCATCATGTAACTAAGCAAAACCTATGATGCACGGATACATCTGTTTGGTCCCGTATCTCGTATCCGATACTTGATCGGATATGGTACTTGCCCGATACTCTCGGATACTCATCCAACATGTATCCTGGTTGATGGACACGAATTTGACACGATGGATACGCGTATCCTACATTTAAGATACACGTATCTGGCTTTTAGGATACATTTACACTTTCAAAAAAAGGTAATGAGGAGGAGAAAATTAATAGGAGACATCTATAATTGAAAATTTCTGAATACAAAGAACTTCCCTCTAATTAAAACCATGAATACGACTCTCGTACTTCTTCTACTGTATAAAGAGGATTAGATTTCGAACTTTTCTTCTCTAACAACTCAAATGTGCTTGAATTTGAATGATGAATTATGTTTTAAAATGTATATTTTGTTACTATATATATTTTTATTTACCGTATCCATAGCGTATCGTATCTTAATTTATAGAGATTTTTCATATCGTGGTGTCATATCGTATCGTATCGATCGTATCGCCATATCTGTATCCATAATTCATAGAGCAAAACAGAAACAGAAACATAAAAATTTCATATATTTCTTGAAGAACATGAATTAAAACACAGATTCTGAAAAACCCATCAGCCAGAGAACAAACAGAAGAATTATACCATATAAAGATGCAAAATTGAAGGAACCCAATTAAGGCATGTGGGGGGTAATCAGAATATCAGATGGTAATTAAATGGAAGAGAAGGGTTGGTTACTTACAGGCCATCCAATCCAGCACTGGGAATGGGGTTCCCACTCTGCAGGCATGTAATATCCATGGACAGCCGGCGTGCCTTCCATCTTCATCTCTCTCTTTCTCTCTCGTTTCTCTCTCTAGAAGCGATGATTGAGTTTGGAGGAGAAAGAGAGAGGGTGAGAGAAGCTCTGAAGTGGCTTCTGGTGAGTGGAGACAAAAAGTAGGTCTTCAGAGATACGATAAATAAGTGTTGGCTGCTTTTGTCAGGTAAGGGTTCCAACTTTATGGCTCTGTTAATTTGTACGAGAGATGCTTAGGTTAGGTAAGTTTCAAAAGTAGGACTAAATTCTTCGAACTTCATGTGTTTGACACAATTATTATATCAACATTATAAAATATTATGTCTAAAAATATACGAGGGTAGAAAGATTATGTAGAGTCACACTTTAAAAGAATTTTCTTAAAATTTAACCATACAACAATTAGGAAACCCACATTTTTTTTTATTTTGTCGAAGAAAACCCATAAAATTAAAAACAAACAAATATTTAGATGTACGATTACTTTAACCGTTACATTAGATTTTCACAACTGTTATTTTAGCCATCAGATGAGATTTTTCGATATCAATCATTTATTCTCGAACCACTTAATATTATGTGTCATTGAAAAAAAATTCAAATGATTTATGTGTTCATAGATTAAAAAATATGTTATTATTGACACTCTAAAATTTTTAATACGCACTCTTCATAAATATATTTGTCTTACTATCAAATTCGGAGTGCCAATACATTTATATAACAGTCAGATGTTTATCAAACATGAAATTTGAGTAAAATACACATTAGTAATAGGTGCAAAATAATTGTTTGAAATGTGACAAGCGAACAACATCATTTGGCCAGCTACACTTCACAAATAAAGAGGAGTACCTCTTGCATTGGATGAGACCAATACGAGGCAATGTGAGTCCAATATAGGGTATCTGTTCTCTAACAATATGGTCAAATGAGTAACGTGATCACTTGGTCGAACGTAATAAGTTGCTGCAATCTGCACTGAGTCCAGGTTTTACAAGCAACTTTCAGCTTCTCAAGACATGAGATAATGTGCAAATTTGGTGCATCTTTAACTGCATTTTACTGTGAACAAGTGTTTAGCCAATATACTAATGTTTACCTTGTTTTATCAACAAGTTTATACTTTAAAATGTAGCGTGCTGTGCTGTTAACTTTTGTATTGAATGATAAGAGAATGCGGCTTAAACAAAATTTAAGCTCCGGTGAATGCGATTAAGTATCAAGAGCTTGTCTTGGAAAATAAAATAAAATTGTTCATCATAAGCTGTGATGTGGGAGTTTTCGTCCTTGTTAGTCGGATGAGTCTGGCAATCAAAGCTCTCGTTTGCCCTTGCACTCGAGGGCAAATCTTGATTTGACCCGAAAAAACTTATGCAAGACAAATCAATGTGTTATTAATTGGAATATTTCTAGCGTAGATGATGGATAAGTCACCTACTACATTTTGGCCAAGATTGAGGGGCTTACATTTTTTTGGGGAAAATGATTCTCACCGGATCATTTTCTTTGAAATTCTAAGAATTTTGTGATCGTTTATCGTATATCGTGTGATTAGAAATTATTTCAAACTTTAAATTTAAATATAAATAGTACCTAATGAAAACTAACCGCAAGATATACGATTACATAATTTCTAGAAATCCTAAAAAAATGATCTGGCAAGAATATTTTTTTCTTTTTTGGTAACTGAAAATTAGTGGCACAAAAAAAAATAAAAAAAAGGAAGAAGAATCTTTCCCAACTTGTAGTGATTCAGTCCAAATCAACGGTGGTCCTTTCAGGCCACTACCTAATCAAATCTACACCCGATCTTATCCATTTTTTCCTCTGGAGTTTTTGCAACTGATCTGTTTTCGCGCGTACCTCTCAGACTCAACCAACCGCTCGCCGCCATGTGTCATCAATTTCTACATAAATCCTTCGCGCAATCTGACAAGAATTATAGGAACATATTAAATTCTCCCAGAGACTGCAAGAATCCAGAGAAAGCAGTTGCAGCAACTTTGAGACTTCAATTTTTTTCCTGAAAAAGGTATGAGCTATGATCACTCTGTCTCGATCAAATCTACAAAGTCTTCAACTTTTTGCGGTTTTAATTTCTAGGTCTCTGTTTTTTGATGATTTCTTCATCTGGGCAATCTCCAATTTCATGTGTGTTTTCATCCGGGAGGAGTTCTTGAATGCTAATTAATCAGTGTTATTGAATTGTTAATTGTTAACTTGATGTTTAAGCATGGACATTTATGAGTTTCCCAGTTCACAGTTTTGCAATTTTATTACTGTTTGGTTCTTGTTCTATTTTCTCTCTTGAAAATGTTTGATCACTAGGAAGTTTCCAACTTTATGAGATTTTAAATTTCTGGGGTGATGTTTCTTGATGATTTATTCATGTGGGCAATCTGCAATTTTCATTAATCTTTTGAGTTCGTTTTTGTATTTCTGTAATTTTGTCGGCTGGGGAGGAGTTATTGAATGCTAATTTATCAATATCAATGGATTGTTAATTATTAACTTAATGTTCAACCATGTACATTTATAATTTTCCCAGTTTAATGTTCTGCAATTTCCCAATTAGAATGTTGCTTTTGCTATTTGTTGAATCGTGCAGCGTGTAGGACATAACACAGATTTTGAGCTCTAAATGGTTCAAGATACAAGTTCTGGGGCTGAATCACCGCGGCTGCGCACTGGTCTGTTGCGGGATCAGGTGCAGCTTGTGAAGAGAAAGGACTGTGATCGTTATGAGATTGTCCAAATTCCAGATGTCCTGTCATTTGAGAAAGGTTTCTTTATAGCTATTCGAGCGTGTCAGCTGTTGGCTCAAAAGAATGAGGGGATAATACTAGTTGGAGTGGCAGGCCCCTCTGGAGCTGGTAAGACTGTTTTCACTGACAAAATGCTCAACTTCATGCCCAGCATTGCAGTTATTGCAATGGACAACTACAATGACGCTAGTCGAATCATCGATGGCAACTTTGATGGTAAAGAATCTCATCTTTGAGTCCATCAAACATCTGTTTTGATTTGATCATTATAAACATGTTTTGTAGGGTATGCTAATAGTTCAATGATTTTCCTGTTTCGAGTGATTTTCCTTTTATAGTAATTGAGTTCTTTACTTCGTTTCCGAATTGTTCACTTCCTTGTTTATAGTGTTCTTTAAAGTTTTGTCCTTCTGATGTCTTCCTTCATCGTCATCTCTGAATCTTTTTGTCCAATTTTTGATCATGGAATAAGTGATTTTACATCTGAGAGTCATGGCTGAACTCTAATTGTCACAATGTTTTGGACTAATTGTCATAATGTTTTGGAGCAGATCCACGCCTGACAGATTATGAAACATTGCTTGAAAATATACATGGTTTAAAGGCAGGCAATCCTGTTAAGGTTCCAGTATATGATTTCAAGACTAGCTCCCGCATAGGGTACAGGTAGTGCATCTCTGCATGATGTGAAAATGCTTTGCCACATATATAACATGATAGCTTTCATTTTCTTCTGATTCTATTGTATATTGATGGTCCTTCTGGTGCTTCTAACAGGACAGTGGAGGTCCCTAGCTCCCGTATTGTGATCATTGAGGGCATATATGCTTTAAGTGAGAAATTGCGACCTTTGCTAGATCTTCGTGTATCTATAACTGGTGGAGTTCACTTTGACCTTGTAAAGCGGGTTTTAAGGGACATTCAGCGTGCTGGCCAAGAGCCTGAAGAAATTATCCATCAAATTTCTGAAACGGTTATCCCTTTATCCAGTGTTACAAAGTTTTTGTTATCAGTACAAAAGATTTATGGTGGTTCTCATCCAGAATTTTGGTACAGGTGTATCCTATGTACAAGGCCTTTATCGAGCCAGACCTTCAGACAGCACATATAAAAATCACCAACAAGTTTAATCCCTTCGCTGGTTTTCAGAACCCTATTTATATTTTAAAGGTTGACTATTAAATTTTCTTGTTTTGGTAAATCTTTTTCTCCAGTTGTTTGTTTCAAGAAATACGTAATCATTTTCTTTTCTGACTGTCTATGTTATATCTTATTGCAGTCAACGAAGGCAGTGACAGTGGATCAAATCAAGGCTGTTATATCTGCAGATCACAAAGAAAGCACAGAAGAAACTTATGACATATATCTTTTACCACCAGGTGAAGATCCTGAAGCATGTCAGTCGTATCTAAGGATGAGGAACAGAGATGGCAAATACAATCTCATGTTTGAGGTTCGACATCTGTAAACTAAAGTTCCTAAAGGATATTACATGCTTTTGACTTTATCCGACCAGTGTCATTGCCTACATATATATCGGAGTTGTTTTCATCATCGATCAACAGTAAAGAAATGAATCTACAAAGGCTTATTTAGGAGTCCGGATAACAATTTACATGTCTTTCCATTTCAGTCAGGAACCCTGCTGTTTTTCTTTCTGAAATGAATTTCTGATTCCATATACAAATAAGCTTGATCATCATCTGGACAATGGACATTTTAAGGGAAAGATTTCAAGATTGTGACATGGGGATTTTGACGGAGAATTCTTACATGGTTGTATTTTAATTACATGGGGGCGCAGGTGAAAACTTTTGTATAAACTTGTGTGTAGGATTCTGCTAATATGTGCTTGGTGTGGATCGTTGTATCTAAATTTCATAGTTTGTTCTGGAGTAGGATCTCTGACTAGCTTTACCTCCTCTCTCTCTCTCTCAGGAGTGGGTCACAGATAGTCCCTTCATAATATCTCCCAGAATAACTTTTGAAGTTAGTGTGCGCCTTCTTGGAGGTCTCATGGCCTTAGGGTATACAATTGCATCCATCTTGAAAAGAAGCAGCCATATCTTCTGCGATGAGAAGGTTTGCGTGAAAACTGATTGGTTGGAGCAACTTAATCGTCAATATGTTCAGGTATCATGCCAGGCATTCACTTTTTCAGATTATTTTGAAACTTGTGATACATTTTTGCTTTTCTGTTCTTCATGTCAGGTGTTTATTTCTGGAAACGAAAACAAGACTTGGTGTTTTCTTTTTAGATAAATTTTGTAAAGCTGGGCACTAACTTGCTGGAATTGTTTGAAGGTGCAAGGAAAGGATCGGTTACATGTTAAAGATATTGCACAGCAGCTTGGCCTGGATGGTTCATATGTTCCTCGTACTTACATCGAACAAATTCAGCTGGAGAAACTTGTAAATGATGTTATGGTATGACTCTCTCTCTCTCTCAACTGATCATGCATTTTCATGTTTGTGCATTGTCGTGATGTGATCAATCTACAGGCGTTGCCAGATGATTTGAAATCAAAGCTCAGCATAGATGATGATTCTTCGAGCCCTAAGGAAGCTCTTTCCCGAGCCTCAGCTGATCGGAGAAACAAGTATCTCAACCGGTATTTTTTATTTTTCAGCTATTTTCTCAGAATTGAAAGGATAATAAACTATCATCCAGCTGATCATGCTTGTATGTATTGATTGGTTCCTTTAACATCATATTCCATACTGGGCAGGGGTATATCGCAGTCTTACTCGAATCAAAGGGACAAGACTATTTCCAAACTAACGAGACTTGCTGTTAACAGCAGAAGGTTTGATGGGCGAAACCCAATATCACCTGCAGCAATTTCGAACCAGGTGAGTTACCGATTTTTCATGTAGTCCTGTTGATGGCACATAACTATGAAATTGTTTTTCACCAATAATTCTGCCTTGTATTATTTCAGGGAATTTTTACTCAACTTTCAGAACAAATTTCTACGCTGAATGAGAGGATGGACGAATTTACATCCCGTGTTGAAGAGGTGAACTCCAAGATATCACTCAGAAGAGCTTCAGCTAGCCAGCAAAGTTTGGCTCTGCAAGCCAAAGCCTGCAATGGATCCGAACCAACTTCTCTTTTTGTTAATGGCTTGAGTAATGGCTCGTTGGCAGGAACGCTACTGCCCAATTCTTCGTCGTCCTCCCAGTTGGTCAAGGATTCCCCACTGATGGAAGAGGTTTTTTGTGATAATAATACACTTGTGATGACATACTGTCTTCTATCCTGTTTCCTTCTGATATGCTTATTTGGTTGCTTGGTGCACACTCAACAGATACTAGCCATCACACGAGGCCAACGGCAGATCATGCACCAAATAGACAATTTGAGCAATCTTCTGCGAGAGTATACGGCAGAGAGGTTTCGCCAAGGAAGAACAGATACTGCTGGAAGAATGCCTGATATCGAATCAGTTGTCCCACTTGTTCTTGCTTTGGCAATTGGCGGTTTAGGTGTCTTCTTCTTCAGGAGTCTGACTTCCCCAAAATAATTTCATGGCAAGCAGCTAACTTTCAGCATAGAACCTTGCTATAAACACGTTTGTATGAACCCGTCCTGACGTGCTGTATACCGAACAATGGTAGTCTGCCCTTGTGATAGGGGGCAAATATGGATTTGTAGGTTTATGCGTGGTCGGCCAATGTTGTAAGTACTAAATAATTGGCATACTGTATACGGAAAGAGAGATTCAAACTTGAGTGCAACGGACGGACAGTGCTTTGGTTGATGTTTGCATACCATAAATGTACGATAACTTTTGATGGCCTTACAAGTGCAAGCGACAGTGTTTCAGATGAGACGGTCGTATCCATCTGTTTTATTTGAAATCTTTTAATTTGCAATGGTACGGAAGATCTAGCAATTCTTATTTTCATTTAGTACTTAGATTTCGATTTTGATCCAGGCGTCCGAACACACGGTCGAAGTTGATTCAGAACACCATATCGCTGGCTAACTTGTGATCTCATATCTAAATCAATTCCGCATAGCGTTCGACTTCAATAGTTACACAAACCAAACACATTCTAACATGAAGTACAACGACAGCTTTCAGAGGCCGCAAAAGAAAAAACCTCAAACAAGATATTCGGTACAAGGGCACGTAATCCGTCCAGCATTCAGAAAAGGTTCGCGTGAAGTTCTTTGACCTCTCCTACAACTTCGTCGTGAATTGCCTTTATTTTATCTTGATCCTCTTTGGATAGTTCCCCTTTGTTAGGCTTAGTTGTCACCAGGACACAGCAGGTTGGCCTCTTGGTGGCACCGGCATTTGCAAGATCCTGAAGACGACATTCACAATACTAGCATTAGTGTGTTTTCGATCAAGAAAGCCGATGACAATAGGCAATATCTTTAACAAATGCTCAGCTATTGGATCATACAATGTAGGCTTTTTAGCCAAATTGGTCCTTGAGATTTGTATAACTCATCATTTTGGTCCTGAGTTATGCAAATCTCGGGACCACTTTGGCTAAAAAGCCTACAATGTATGATAAAGTAGATTTCCAAATTTGTAAGGAGCAGAAAAGACGTGTGAAATAAAATTTTCTGTATGCCTAACTACTTGTTGTGTTGGTTTGTTTTATTTATAGATGCGCAAGCAAAGAAATGTCGCTCAACTTCAATGTAGGTAGGGTGAAGAACAATGATGTTGAGTAAACTTACTTCTTTTGAAGGCACGTAAACATATGGAATTTCAGCCTCTTCACATAAGATTGGAACATGAGTAACCACATCGATAGGAGAAATGTTACCAGCTATAACACAGAACCTGCACTCCAACACAAGGTATAAGAAAAATCAATATAACATTCATAGAAGTAACTCGAGCGGTGAACACAATCTACATGCTAAGCTGCTTATATCTCTAGGAACTAATAAACTAATGCTTGCATTTGAGCAACCACCTCTGAACCAACAAATGCATAAAAAACTAGCGCTAGCAGATCAAGCCAACTTTCTACATCAGATAAATACACTGATTACACGGCATTGACATTACGTAGATTGTCAAATTAAGTTCCTACTCTCTCTATATGAATCTACTCCAAAACACTTCTCTTGACACTCATGATGTGGCCGTCTAAATCACGTTAAAATTGGACAGTTCGACCGCAATCTCTCACTAAATCATGTTTCTACACTCCCTTCCAACTCAACCCATAATTCATAGCGATTGAATTAATACCAATATAACACAAGTGAAGAAATGCAAACGAAATCCTCGAATCTACTAACAAAGTTGCATCCTTTCCAATTCAAATTCAGTTTTTTCAACAATAAAATCGATTTCCCAATACAAATTAACAAAGTACAAAGACGAAACCGATATAAAAAACTGACCCCTTTTGACCACGCCGGATGCTTTTCACCACTTCCTTCACTCCCCTCTTCAAGCATTTGTGCTCAGCAGCTACAACATAAACATCATCATCAAACTTTCTTTCACCCATATACAAACATCCATATATATACACGCACACATTTATACATGAATTTTTATACGTATATTTTTATGTACGTATGCGTGTATACCTTTACGGACGAGCTTGAGGGTTCGTTTGCAGAGCTTCTTTCCGGCGAGGGGTTTGGCGATCGGAGCAAGAGCCTGCATCTTCTTCTTCTCCCTCTCCTTCTGCGCCGACTTCTCTACTTCGCTATCGCTTCCCATCTCTCTCCTTCTCTCTCTTCCTCCTCTCTCTTTCTCTCTCTAGCTTTCTGGAGACTGGGATTTTTCACTGTGCTCCGAGTCTCGCAATACCGCCTCTGGAGATTAGGGTTTTTATTTTCGTTTTGTTTCAAGGGTTTAAGGAATTATGGGCCTTAGGATGGGCTTGAACAATGTACACATGTTTGGTCCGTAACCCAATTATTGGCCCAACTTTTGGCCCAAATAAAATACCCGATAGGCCCAAAGAAAAATAAAAAAATCGGAAAAGGCCAGAGCTTAGGGTTTTACGTTTCTCTCTTGTGGTGGCAGTCTGCGTGAGAGCTACGCCGGAGGGAGACTCAGAGTCCTCGAAAGTCCGCCATGCCTACCGTCAGCGTCGGCCGCGATCGTCTGTATGCAGCTCTAGGAAAAACTTACAGTGAGCTCTTAGTCTCTCTCTCTCTCTCTCTCTTCATTTGATCGATGCATTTATCTATGAATTCAGAAACTCACACTATCTCTCTGCGTTGTTGAATTTGAATCTGACAGCTCAGGAGCAGTTCGAAGAATTATGCTTCGACTTCGGCATCGAGCTCGATGATGTCGTAAGCAGTTTTTACAGTCTCTAGTTTTGTTCAATTTAATTTATTTTTTTGTTTATATTTCTCTGATTTATCGTGATTAATGTGTGTTTGTAGACAACCGAGAAGGCAATTATTTGGAAAGAGAAGCATTTGGATGACGATGAAGGCGGCGAAGACGAAGAAGTTATTTACAAAATCGAAGTTCCGGCGAATAGGTATATTGTCGTTTTTCAATTTTCGATTTCTATTTGCGTGTAGAATCATGTATTTACTAATCGGATTGGTTTCGCAAATTGATGTCTTATCATACTCCGTTGAATCAGTTGGTTCGAGATTTTAATACAATGTTGTTATTTGATTTGTATGCAGATACGATTTGCTTTGCCTCGAAGGGATTGCTCAATCGCTGCGTGTTTTCAATGGGCAAGAGGACATTCCTACGTATAAGTTGGCGAACATTAGTAAGGAGTCGATGATTAAAATGCATGTAAAACCAGAGGTAGTTATATTATGCGAAGGACTATTGTAGGTGCTTTTTATTTGATGGTGATACTTGTTAGTTTACAAAGGCTTCTTTTCCACTTGCAGACGTCTTTGATTCGCCCTCATGTTGTCTGTGCCGTTTTAAGAGGTGTAACATTCAATGATGCTAGTTATAACAGCTTTATTGATCTCCAAGACAAGCTCCATCAAAATATCTGCCGGTAATCTTTTCCGACTCGTAGATTGATTCATAGCTTGTCATGTTCTCAATTGCTTGTCATTTGTCCAAAGATCGTTAGTGGTTATTCAGCTCTAGTGATTACACCTGCTATTTATTTTACAGGCGAAGAACCCTAGTTGCCATTGGGACTCATGACTTGGATACATTACAAGCCCCTTTCACATATGAGGTGGGCTTTTGATACTTGTTCTCTTTGCTACATTCTTGTATTCTACATTTTTTTATGAAGATTCATTTGGTATTGGATTTTATGGTAAAATTATGGTAATGGTTTAGATCCGTTATTGAAACTTATGGTTCTTGGAAGGAAAAGTAGAAAGGCGAAGATTTCTTGATGCAACACGCATTTCAATGAAAGAATTTTCGTGTTCTTCTTTGTTGTGGCTTACAATTCTCTTTCCATGTTCAGGCTTTGCCACCTTCGAGTATAAATTTTGTGCCTCTGAAACAGGTACTTCTTTAAGTTTAATACTTTTTTCAATTAGTAGTTATGTGAATATGAATATGGCTTAGTAATAACTTTAATTCTTTTTAATAGTTTGTTAGCACTAATATCATGTTGTTTTGATTACTACATTAGGTGAAGAACTTCAGAGCAGATGAGCTCATGGAATTTTATAAAGTGAGTTCTTAACTGGGTGGTTTTTTTATTTTTATCTTCTTTTCCCCCTTTTTAGGGATGGGCTATAGTTTGTCCAAACCAAACAACAAATAGAATTTTAGAAACCATTGCCGTAATAGCTAATTCGCACAAATCCTTTTCCATAATCTACTGTTTTCTATGACCTAATAATATCTTGATCCATATTTTTACCATTGTATTCTCGCAGTCTGATTTGAAGCTGAAGAAGTTCTTGCACATAATAGAGAACTCACCGGTGTTTCCTGTTTTATATGATCACAACAGGTATGATAATTTCTTTCTCATACATTGATTAATTTGACATTTCTCATCATCTTTTAACTACCTCCTCCCCTTTTCCTAGTGTTGTAAAGAGCTTGACTTTGTTGGGATTGTTTTCAATGACTGCTTGTGTAACGTAGTGTTGATTACTCTATATGGCTTTGTATTTCTTTAAATCTTGATAAGCGATGTTCCGTTTACTTTGGCAGAACTGTTTTGTCTTTACCACCCATTATTAATGGTGCACATTCAGCAATCACATTAAAGACAAAGAATGTTTTCATAGAATGTACAGCCACTGATTTAACAAAAGCCAAGATTGTTCTGAACACAATAGTAAGAACCTGAAATTTTATAATGCATTTATTTCCTAGTTTTTGGTTCACCTGTCAGTGGATGATGGCATAAACTTTTATTCGTTCAGGTAACAGCATTTTCAGCATATTGTGAAAGGAAATTTGAGATTGAACCAGTTGAAGTGTTATATTCTGATGGAAACTCACATGTTTATCCTGATTTATCGATCTACAACATGGATGTTTCTCTATCGTATGTCAATAGTTACACTGGAGTGTCTTTGAAAGCGAAAGAGGTATATCAATAACTGCATGTTACTTATTCCTTTTTCATTCTTTAATATTGCTTATTGTTTCCAATGATTTTTTATTTGTGTAATTATATGTTGTAGGAATACTGCTGTTACCGATTGCATAACAACCATTTTCATGAATTATAGCAGATTTAGTTGATACACTGCATCCTTTTGCTTTTCTCATCATTCTTTATTATTACCGTGTAGGTTACTGATCTGTTGAAGAGGATGCAATTGCATGCTGAGCAATCTAAATCTGACAATATTACTGTGTCTGTACCTCCAACCAGAAGTGACATTCTTCACCCTTGTGATGTTGTGGAGGTATAATTATTCATAGCGCACTCACTGTATTAATAAACCAAACTCTTTCCGTTTTTTTTTTTTTTTTTTTTTTGACAAAGTATTCTCTTTTGTGTTTAGGATGTTGCAATTGCTTATGGATACAATAATATTCCAATGAGAAAGCATATTCCAACGAGCGAGCCTGTTTCTTTGAAGCCACTAGCCTTGAATGAGTTCACTGAACTCATCAGACTAGAGGTTTGTAATAAAGATTTGTCAGTTGACACATAAACAGTTTTAATTGTGTGGCTTATTCTAATTTCTTTTGTGTTGCTTCAAAATTGTGTTAGATTGCAATGATTGGGTTTACAGAGGTCTTGACATTCATATTGGGCTCGTGGAAAGAAAACTTCTCAATGTTAAGATGTAAAGATGACAAATCGAAGGCTGTGGTTATTGCGAATCCCCGCTCATCTGATTGTGAGCTTGTCAGAACCAGTCTGATGCCTGGCATTTTGAAAACTGTTAATAACAACAAAGATCATCCGAAGCCCATAAAGGTATATGTTACCAAGTTCTCTTCTACAATATAGTTTCTCATCTGCGGTTGCACTTTTTCCCCTTTTCTGGTAAGTTATTGTATGAATTTTAGCAAGGATGGATATAACTTTCATATTGTTACAGATTTTCGAAGTGGGTGACGTAGTACTGTTGGATGAGAAGACAGATGTTGGTGCAAGAAATCATTGCCAACTAGCAGCTCTATACTGTGGTGCTACGTCGGGGTTAGAGGTACAATACCAAACATCCTTGCTGCATACTGTTTGTTTCTCCTACTTTAGAACCTAGTAGCATTTATGAATAATGATTACATGTTGCTGACCTTTGGTTTATGATCTGCAGTTGATACATGGCCTGGTGGACAGAATTATGGGAGCGGTTGGGGCTTCTTGGGTTCCTGTTGGTGACAGTACAGGATACTTCATCGAGACTTCAGATGTGAGTATATCCTTTACTTTTGTCTTTTGCTAGCTCTTTTGGTTGGTATGGATAATTTTCATGCAATTTTGACATGTCCTGAAGGATCCCGAGTTTCTTCCCGGGAGACAAGCAAGCATCATCTATAAAGGGAAGCACATTGGAATTTTTGGCATTTTACATCCCGAGGTACAAATCGTAACTTAGTTTTTTGATAAGGCTATAGCTACCTGATTAGATTCTGTACTATAAACTTTCCCATTCTTGCTTTGAGTCAATCACGACCGATAGTCAATTTCTATTACCTTAATGGTGTATTTTTGTGTCTTTTCAGGTGTTAAACAACTTTGACATTCCTGATCCGTGCTCCTATGTAGAACTTAACGTTGAGAGCTTGTTGTAGGTCTGTATAACAACAAATGTAAGCTTCGTCTTTCATTCTTCCCATAGGTTTATAATCTTTTTTTTTTTTTTTTTTTAAGATCTTTCCTCTCTTCGTCTTTCATTCGGCATGCACAGAGCTTTGTCGAGCTTATTTTCTTGATTTGCAGCTGACAACCGTACAAGAGATAGATAGTCATTCTTCTGCACGAAGAATTTAGTACGAAATCAGGAAACCACAACGAGGATACAAATGTCAGTTTTGTTCTCTTGGTTTCGACTTTTATTAAACTATTGATTAGTGAATTGAGTTTTTCTAAAAACATCGATTGTAAGATGCATTCATACATACAAGCTACCATTTGTTGCCAAACCGTAATGTTGAATAGAGATCTCTTATTCTTCGAACTTTTGGGTACGGATAGCTTCCGGTTTTGCATCCTCGTGTTTTATTTCCGTTTAGCTTCAGTTGTGGATTAGAATGTTAACAGTTATGGTGTTTTTGAAGAGAGTTGCAAGTTTACTCATTTATTTTATGCGTATTTTTGCAGCCCTTTTATTTAGTCAAGAAATTAACCTCGCGTTTACGCTGTAATTTGTAGTAATTTCTTTTTCTTTCGGGATTATGCCCCGTTGCAACAAAAAAGTGTCATGAAAAAAGGCTTTGTGATTGGTTCTGTAGCTTACAATTTTTGTGAAAAATTTAACTATCGAGTTTTTACAACATTATTAAGTCGTAAAAAAACTACCAATTGATTTTATTATTTTTTTCTTTTTTGAACAAACGGTATTCTCTACATTAGGGAGGAGGTGAGGGTGATTTAGCCTCATCATGGACTAACAATAATATGGTTCAAATTCATTTTTGACGAGAATCGAATATAAAACTTTATTTATAAGTGAATAGATATACTATTAGACTGTAGTACTAAGTGGCTCTTCTGATCGAATTTTTCAGTTGAATATTCATACATAAAAGTTCACAAGTTTCTCATATGGACTAAAAATTCTTCAACATCTTCCAACTTCACAAGAGAAGCCTGCAAAATAGAGCATGCATGAAGCTCACATGTTTTTCATGTGGGCTATAAATGCTTCAAGATCTTCCAACTTAGCACTATAGAAGCCTGCAAAACAGAGCATTGTATAACCAAATATGCAATTCAAACGCCTGAAAAACAAAGTTCGACTTGAAAGGCCACTAGTTGAACATGAATATAGTCCGTAGTACGTAGCTGTTACCTCTGCGAATTTCCATAACAGACGGGTCTCTGTGCGCGTTGTTGATCCAAGCAATCTTACGGCGTTTGGATTCTTCCATCTTTTCGGTCTGCAGCTTTCCTACTTTCATCCGAAGTTCTGATGCCGTTTTCACCATCTCTGCATAAAAACGTAATCCACTAAAACTTTTGCTTTTCAATACTTCGAATTGTAGCTCGAGATACAAACTTTCGAATGCCTAAATGCATGAATTTTCCTATTCAGTAGTCTTGAAACAAGATATGGTTGGAGTAGCAGCGCATTACCAAATGCAGGTTTGTCTGCACAACATATATATACCTATCGGGAACCTACGGGCAAGAAAACTATTCACATCTCTGCATTTGCTTGAGGTTTTAACACCAGAAAATTTCAGAACAACCAGAACTGTATAGTCACCAATTGAAACTTTTAAAACAAAAACAAAATCATAGCAAAACTTGATGAGAAAACAAATATTTCGACCAACTCCCGAGTGTCTAAGTGATCAAAAGGTGTGCATATTACAGAAATCGGCAATGGCTGGGGAAATCTTTATGAAGTGATCAATACATCTCAGCATACTGGTTGATCAACGCTTATCGCTTATACACAACATTTAAACGTAGTAACTTTGTTGAAGGTTTCAGATACACGATAGGGAAAAGAGCTTAGGGAAATATGGTAAACGCAAAACACAAACATGCACATGGTTAATGACTTAATACAATGTATTAGAAGAAAACCTTCTTAAAACTAAATCCATGCTTCCTGAATTTATACATATTCGAAGGAAGTATTTAGTTAGTTACCCTGGAAAATTTCATGGTAAGAGTTTAGGTCATATTGTTGCAATGTCCCATTGACAAGCGCAGAACAACGATCTCTAGACACAGACTGTCCTTCTAATGCTTGGATCTCTTGATTCAGCGCAGCATTCTCCTTACTAACCTGTATGCGTATTCCATTAACGGAATGTCGATCAGGAATTCAATTTCATGCAAACAAGACATTCTTGCAACCTCTGGTATTATAATTACCTCAGTGAGTTCGTTCCTCAACAAATCCAGCTGGGCATCCAGGTCTGTGTCAACTATTGCATTTTGACATAAACAAGCGTCGACAGGTAGTTCATCCTAGAAAGTAACTTTCTTTAGTCAACAAATTATACAAGTTTACAGAACGGAAAAATCATCAGTCACCAAATCAACAAGCAGCATATGGAACTTGATTTCTCTTACAGTCGGAGTGTGGATGAAAATGTAACTGAAAGCATCAATAAACTGAAAAGAACATACATTCTTAGACAGGTCGAACCCCTCTGGAACTTGAAAAACGTAGTCAAGGCAGTACTGCTCCCAGACACCCAGCTTTTTATCAAGATCTGATTGAACCTTTTTGCGGATGATATCAACACCCTACAGAGGAATAAACAAACAAATAAACAAACGAGTAAACTCAACAGTGGATTATCGAAAAAGATTGCATCTTCCTACTAAGTTCGAATACGAAAATTATAATCCTCAATCAATTTTCTTTTGTTTTAAAGTAATCATCCAATGCAACAGCCACTCAGTACTACGGTCTGGTAGTATTCCTCTTCACTTGAAAGTGAGAGGTCTTAGGTTCGAATCTCGTGGATGGCGGAATTCGATACCAAATTAGGCCGCCCATTGTGTGACTTAACCGAACTCCCCCTCCCCTTAGTATAAAAATATTGTACTAAAAAAAAAAACAAAAAAAATCATCCAATGCAACTTATCAAGCACCAAAAGAATTCAAATTTAAAAAAGCTACAAAACATTTTTAGCAAAAATTAATAATATGAAATAACCCCCCCAAAAATAAAATAAAAAATGTGTTCACAAATACTCTCACTCACACAAAACATAGAAATTAGTAAAATTTGTGAAGGGGAAAACCCTAGAATTATGAAATAAATTGAAATTAAGCATATTGGGGCAAAACAAAACAAAAAAATGGTGTGTAGAAATTGGAATTATACCCTGGATAGATCTTGGGCTCTGTCAGTGCCCTCAATTTTCAGAGAGGTTGATGCTTGTCTGGAAAAAAAAAATGGTAAAAAAATATTGTTATTAATTACAATACTTCACCTCTAATAACAATAAAAATAGTAAAATTAATGAAAAAAATTAATTAAGATCATTAGAGAGAGATTTACTGAAGGAAATGATCGAAGGCGTCGTCGACCAAGTCATCGGTGATGTTTAAGACGTCGTTGATGAACAGCTGTGGATTCAGATTCAGCGAATTGAATGCTGCCTCGCTTTCGCTGCCTTCCATTCTCGATACACGCAAAGCTCTATTGCACAGAAGCACTCGCAATTACTCCACAGATTGCTGGTTTTCAGATTCGCATTAGGGATTTTCCCGCGCAAAGTGCCTGTAAAATGGCGGAGGAGAGCGGAAAGGGCAGGACTTGAATTTTGAAAAGTGAAAAATAAAAGCAGTTTTCGAGAAGGAAAAGGAGATTTCCTAGGAATTTAGAAATTTATGATCGTGACCATTCATCGTATATCGTACAGTCAGTTTTTATTAGGTATTATTTGTATTTAATTTTAAATTTTGAAATGATTTCTGATCGTATGATGTAAAATACATGGTCACGATCACGGGATCCCTAGGAAAAAGATCCGACGGGGATCCTTTTTCTTTTGAGATAGCGAGCCGTCTACACGCGTGTACTCGTTCTGCCACGTCAACATTTTTTTTTTTTTTTGAAAGCCAGGAAAAAAAGAAGTAGCAGGTAACGATTATTCGTATGTTTGATGCATAACGTTTTTGCGTCCATTAAGTGTTTGACAAGATCTCTTGTAAAAGTTCCTCAACAACATTTGACATAACGTTAACAACATTCGACATTGGATCTCAATGTCACTCGGCTAATTATTTTGACATTTGTCGATATGAACGCATATGAAAATAAGTCCATTGGTGCGTTTGTTGCACCGGACTATCTCAAACTAGACTAACTTTAGGAATTAAACTAAACTGATTTAGTAAAACGTTTGATGCTATGTTGAACTAAAAAACAGGACTCATATATTATATTATTAAATTTATATTTACAATATTTTATCATTAATTTTATCTATATATACTAATATTTTATTATTAAATTATAATTTTCCTTTCTAGAATCATCTTCCTCTCTCATTTTTTTGTCCGCCCATTGCATCCCCCCCGCCCCCTTCCCTTTTTCTCTGCCATTTCATTTTCCTCTCTCATTTTTTTTGTCCGCCCACTGCATCCCTCCCCCTTTCCTCTTTCTCTACCATTTCATCTTCCTCTCTCATTTTTTGTCCGCCCACTACATCCCTCCCCTTTCCTCTTTCTCTGCCATTTCATCTTCCTCTCTCATTTTTTTGTCCGCCCACTACATCCCTCTCCTCTCCTCTTTCTATACCATTTATATGTGCCACTGTCTCTTTCCCCTTTCCTTTTTATGGGTTTTCTAGGTTCAATTTTATAGGTTTTTTGGTTGTGGGAAGCAGGGAAGGAGATGTGAGGAGCAAAGCGGAGCAGAGGTAGCAGTGGAATAGGTCAAGGAGGACGGAGCCTGAAGTCCTTGCCGTCGAAAATTGAGGCTAGGAGGAAGGAGCCCAATCGGAGGCGTGACCGATGAGCTTGGTTTGAGGGGAGGTGAATCGGACGACGGAGCTCGTGAGTTCTCTGATTGAAGTTCGAATCGAGGTCTTTGTTCATGATTCAGGGTTGGGGACGAGGAGTGAGGGAGAGAACGCGAGTAGAGAGGAGAGTAGAGGACGTGAGCAAAGAGCGATCAAAGGGAGTAGCCACTAGCCAGTCCCATGGTTCACGACGTCTCTCACTAAGACCGTTTAGCATAATCCTTAGTTGAGACGAGTCCGGCTTACTCCCACTAAAGCTAGTCCCGTGAAGTAACAAATATGGGACTGAACTAATTATTAGTCTAGTCCAATCTAGTGAGAGCTAGTGAAGAGAAACAACACAACCTAAGCACTTCACGAACTTCCTCATGGAAAAAAATTTCCTCTTCGAAAATTAAAAGGATAATATAGGAGCCTCGCGATGACGCGCACAAATAAACAAGGGTTTGATGTGCATCTAAAGATTCAACAATTAATAAACTGACGGTTACATATATTAATAATATACTTGGACATACTAGAAAATTCCGACATTTGTCTCAAAGACAATGAGAGTGGGGACCACAGTCAAATGACTGATAACGGTTGTCGTGAAGATCGAACGGCTTTGAACGGAGTACCAAATTTAACGTGAGGAACTCAACTCACTGGAAAATATAGATCCAAACATTCTACAATAAAATTTGGTTGTCGCTCATGAATGAGATCATTTCCGGAGTGGAGATTTTGTGAAATTTTAAATCGTGTTCGTTTATTATACATTGTGCGATCATAAATCACTTTAAATACTTTTATTTTAAATTAAATATGAATAGTATCTGATGAAAACTGATCGTATAATATACAATGAGCTGACACGATTTAAGGATCCCTATAATCCTCACAAAGATAATCCAAAGAGGATCCTCCTAGTGTCACTCATGTTGTAATTAATGTGATATTCACACCCCACTTTTTACTTTCATATTCCTTACATTTCTTGACAATCGAATTATGTAAATTGAAAAAGATCAAATGACAGAAATTAAGAAAAAAAATATGAGAAATAAAAGTGACCAATTTAATATAATATTGTGTAATTGCGTAAATTCTTGATATATTTAGTTTAAGATTCCTCGTTAATTCTTTTTCATTAGATTTTGTATTACCCAGAAAACAAATTTCTTTCGCGATTTACTATCCACACATGCTTATTTAATATGTGTGATTGTGTAAATTCTTGATAGATTTAATTCAAGATTCCTTAATAATAAAGAAAATACTATAAGGCCACATTCTCTTTCTCTCCTTTAGTAATTTGGCCCCAAATTGTTTCTGTAATTTGTGGGTGGCCACCAGAATGCTTCCAAAATTTCTGAAAGCAACAGATAAGTTGCGGACGTTTCGAAGCCACACAAGCATGGCGAGGAAGAACTCCAAAGTCCAGGCTCTCTACGAGCTCTGCCAAACGATCTTCACGCCGTCAGGGTCTCCTCCGCCTTCTCCTCCGGCTATCGATAAGCTCTGTTCTGTCCTTGGTAATTCCCCATAATATTTTTTTCTTCAAATTTTAATTAAATTGCTCGTCTGATATGTGATTCTATTAAAATTTTGGAACTTTGATGTTGGGTTTGCTTTTTTTTGGGGGTGTTTTGAAGAATTGAGTGATATATTTTATGGGGTTTTGTTAAATTGTAAGAAAGTATAATTTTTCACTAATTACAGTCCAAAGTAACCCTTTTTTTTTCTTTCAGAATTAATCCTGCATTGATATATAATTTAATATGAAATTTGTGAATTGGAAGCAAATTTGTTTGAAAAGCATGTTTGGATTATGTAATACATACATTATCGTTCTTGGAAGTATGTTTTGCATCCCAAATACTAACTGTGTTAATCCTGTTGAAAACATACTTTGCTTGATCAAGAATCGACCCTGAATCGACCGGAGTATCATTGCTTATCGAAGATTCAGGGTCGACTCCAGCTTGATCAAGAATCGCACTTGTTTTATATTTTCCATTTGCGGCGAAGTCTTGATGTTTTTTCCTTGAATTGATGATATAGACTTGGTTGATAGGGCTTTGTTGCTTATTGATGGTAATGCCTAGAGGCCGCTACCTCTGATATAGGTTTCCATGGACCGTATATGGAATGCCTCATTGGTCCATTGACAATGATATCTTTGCTTTTGTTCTTTTGGTGTCATATGCGTTATGTTAATACTTAATACGTACGTGTCTTTGGTGCACGTATTAAAAGATTCCTGCTTAAAACGAGCCTGAACCGGAATATCAGATCTTGAGCCCTAACTCAAAACGGTGATGACAGTTTGAGTTGCTTCCTATATGTTACACCGTATGAGAGAATCTTGTCTTAATATTCTGATTTTGGTTTGAATTCGCAGACACTATATCTCCTGCTGATGTTGGGCTTAAGAGGAAAATCTGGATGACGATCGAGGGCTTGGTTTTTTGGACTTGACCAACTAAATAGAGTTTCTCGATGGGCTCAACCCATAACATACTTGGATATGTACGAAGGTGATAGTTTTACGGTAAGCATTATAAGTTATCACTCAAAAAGGAATTTAGGTTCTTCGTTATATTCAAAGCTCTCTGAAATTTATACTCAAGGACTAAGCAATGATTTTATGCAGATGTGTATATTCCGTTTTCCTACTTCCTCAGTCATTCCGCTTCATGACCATCCTGGGATGACTGTTTTTAGCAAAATTCTCTATGGCTCTTTGCATGTGAGATCTTATGATTGGGTCGAGCCTGCCCAGGTGATCAAGGGACCAAATTACTTTCCAGGTCTGTTTTTTTATGTAACTTTTAATACACACTACAATGATTATCGGTAGACAATGAGCATGGCGATCGAAAATATTTGTTAATAAAATATAGTAGGGAATGAAAATGTTTGCATCATCATATCCTTACGTCTAGTTACAAATGCCCGTTGAATGATTTTCAGAAGCTAAGTTTCACGAGAGATATACAACTGTATGCCATGCTCATGATTTTCGTGTTTAGAGGGTTTAAATACGGGAGGACTGATGAAATTGCTCTCCAATGCAGTAAGATTGGCGAAGCTGGCAGTGGACAAGGTTTTAACGGCACCATGTGCAACATCAGTTTTGTATCCAAGGAGCGGGGGGAATCTGCATAATTTCACGGCAGTCACTTCTTGTGCTGTTCTTGACATTCTCACACCTCCTTACAGAGAAGATGCAGGCAGAAAATGTACCTACTACCGTGATTATCCATATACCGTGTTTGGTTAGTAACTTTGATTTCTAGTTAGGGTTTTCCTTCGTTCTTGAACTTAATTCGCATGAAAAGAAAAGCTGATGAGTTTAGCTGTCTGATGAAAACTGCAGCTACAGAAAACAAAATTAAAATAGAGGACGGCGAAGAAGAGGAGTATGCATGGCTTGCCGAGACAGAACCAGATAATCTTTACATGCGCTCGGGAAATTACACAGGGCCATCTATTCAGGTTTAACCTTCATCACTATCGTTAGGGACGATCGCTAAATGAGCCTTATTGTGTGTGGTTTGGCTTCAGCACCGTAGAGAAAGCATACCATTGCGGTTGACGACAGAAAGCCAACGAGGTACCTAAGGCGCCAAGAAGCGAACTGAGAAAAAGGCTTCTTGCTAGACGATGATATCAAGTTTATCGAGTCAAGACATCCCATGTCGGTCGCCCTCCTTGTTTGTATTGGCCTTCATTAGCAAACTCAGCAAAGTTGTGATTGTGATGAATGCATCCAAGGATTTGTTATGATAGTAGTGATTAGTGAAGCTCTCTCTTTGAGTTTGTGTTTGTGATGTTATGTTGTGCCATTCAAACACGGACATGTCCGCACAGGAAAACACAATCCGCGCCTCCGACGGTTAGAGCTCTACTTAAAACGACAGAGATTCGGAAACTCAAAAACACTTTCACTAGTAATTGATGTTTTGCCTCTAAAACATTGCAAGATTCGGTCGACAAATTGAAAATTTGTCGCACAAGAACTACTAAGTTGAACTGGATGATGCCGGCACATGGAACTACACCTGACTTGATAAACTCTATAAAAAATTTCTGTAGATTTTCCGGGAAATCTGAACTGGCTGGAAGCTTAGATGACTTGGATGAATGATCTGATAAATTTCGTCGCTTAGGGAGATCTGAAAGCTTTGCCGGCATAACGCACATTGCCGAGTTCCTCTTCAATACGCAGAAGCTGCATCCAAATCAAAACAGACAAAGAGATAGTTTCAGTCACTCTTCAATTCTACTGCTTTGTTGAAAACAAGTCATAAGTGGATGGTGTTGGGGGAATGGAATTATTCCGGTTTTAACCTGATTATACTTGGCCAACCGCTCACTTCGGCAGGGAGCTCCTGTCTTGATCTATACAGAACAAAATGAAATCGTCGATTTCATGTATATATGAAGTCAAATAATAGAGAGCATGGTTATAGGAATTGGCTAACAAACCTGTCCACTAGCCAAACCAACAGAAAGATCAGCGATAAAGTTATCTTCAGTTTCCCCACTCCGGTGGCTAACCATCACACCCCAACCTGCAGCTTTTGCGTCGAGTGCTGCCTGAATAGATTCAGTTATTGTGCCGATCTGGTTAACCTGCAATTCAAAGGATGAAAATGAGCTCGATCAAGTTACTCAAATCCCAAGGTTATTACCATTTAAAGGAAAACGATCAATGCAGTTAAATATGCTTGCCTTTAGAAGTAAACCATTGCATGCCTTCTTCTGAATGGCTTCAGCAATTTTGGTTGGATTTGTGACCAACAAGTCATCTCCTACAAGTTGGATATCAACAGAAGACTGAAGTGAAGACCACGAGCTCCAATCATCTTGGTCAAATGGATCTTCGATAGACACTATCGGGAATTCCTTAATGAACTCCTTGTACAGCTCGCCAAGGTTCGGAGGCGAGAGCACATGGGCCCTGTCATTTGGTTGTTTCTTAAAGTTGAGATCGTATTTCCCTTCTTTGGTGAGAAATTCTGAAGCTGCAACATCCATTCCTATTTTGATCTGCATCAATGACATTGTTGTGAGTCCGCATAACACATTTCTATAAGAATTTGCAAGAGAGAAATAATGCCAACGCCTACTACGGTCCTACCTTTCCGGTGTATCCAGCCTTTTCAATAGCATCAATGAGCAAAACTAGACCCTCCCTATTATCCTGCACATTGGGAGCAAACCCCCCTTCATCTCCAACATTGCAAGCATCCTGTCCATATTTTGCCTTGATAATTCCCTTTAGTGTATGATAAACTGCTCCATGCAATCCAGAACACTTTATCAATTATCAACCGTTCAAAAATCGCCAAGAGCATACTAATCATTAGCGATTCAAGCACTTTCTGCTCCAGAAACCATATATGCGGAAAATGAATAACAAATCTGACTAACCTTCACTACCCATGCGGAGTGCCTCAGCGAACGAGGATGCACCCACAGGCAAGATCATAAACTCCTGCATTGCCAGATTATTTCCTGCGTGGCTGCCTCCATTTATCACATTGAAAGCCGGGACGGGCATAACAAGCTCCTTCGTTCCTGAAACTTCCTGGATGTGCTTGTACAATGGCACTCCCTTTGCTCCATGCTCCCGCTCTACACACGCTCAGAGATACTCCCAATATGGCATTGGCCCCCAGTTTCGATTTGTTTGGGGTTCCATCGATTTCCAACATAAGTGCATCAACCTCATTTTGATTTCTAAAAAATGAAAAAAGCAAAAACTTCGGAACTTCATAACCAGCACTCAACAAATATGCCTAAACAACTCATATAAACATAATCAACATCAAGGCTAACAAGTTAGTGCTGTTCGAGACAGCTTCTGGAATGGCCAAACGTGCTTTAGTGCTTCTTCAAGAAGCAAATCCCTGTGCTTTCTTGAAAAGCACTTGAATTTTTAGTAAAGATTTTGACATGCTTCTAACAAAAGCACTTTGAGCAAGAGTAGAAGTCCCCGACGGGCTTCCAAGCGGTCCCTTAGTAAATTTTTCCTTAACATTCCTAAAATTAGTGAACTTTTTCTAACATCTATTGCTAAACTATTACTAATTAGAATTAAGAAACGGATTAACTATAAAAGCGATTAAACAAAAATGCTTAAGCTTAATTAACCTGACATCGACGCCAACGAGCTTGGGTCCCAAAATCTCATTGATGTTCTTCACAGCAGTGAGCACACCTTTCCCGCCGTAGACAGCCTTGTCACCGTCTCTGAGCTCCAACGCCTCGTAAATCCCGGTGGAGGCGCCACTGGGCACGGCCGATCGGTACAGATCGTCAGTGACCAGATCAACCTCGACGGTCGGATTGCCCCTGCTGTCGATGATCTGCCTCGCCTTCACCGACTTGACCTTGTACTCTTGGAGGCCTTGGCGGCCGCGGTGGGCGCCACGGCTGACTGAGCATTGGACGAAGCCGGAACGACGCCGGGCCGGGCAGGGGATGGCGGTGGGGAGCTGCGGTCTGGGCTGGGGTTTGGAGGAGAGGAAGGGGTTTTGGAGGAGGTTGGTGATGGGCTGGCTAGCTAGAGCCATGTGTAGAGAGGGAGAGGAGAGAGGGAGTTTTAGAGAGAGAAAAGTGTTTCGATGGAGAGAAAGTTTGGGGAGGAGAGATATGAAGGGGGAGAGAAAGTGTGGGAAAATCCGTCGAGGTGGCGACGAATCTAATGTGTGGGTTGTTGGTTGGTGGTGGTGTCGTTTGGACTCGCGGAGACGCTGTGACTGAAGCAGCCTTCTTTGGAGAGAAGATGGCTGAGCGTCACGTGCGTGCGTGTATATGCTGAGGTGGCATGTGGGGGTCTGTCTAACTACTTTAAATATTTTTGGTCCCGCTTTGGACATAATCTGAAATCATTATAATTTTTTTATTTAAAATTAAATATAAATAGTACAAAACTCACCGTACAATATATGATAAACGAATGTAATTAAACAATTCCTAAAATCCCGAGGATTCTTGAAACCCTTACTAAGAGAATTCGAAAAAGAGTCTCATTTGCTTTGGACAACCGACACGGTGCATGCATGCAATGCAACCTACCACCCGGTTTTTTTTTAACCTAGTTTGGACTTTGGGGCCCAAACCCACAAGAAAAAAGCTGTTCATATATGGGCCACAAGGCCCACAACGACCCAATGGAACGAGGGTAAAGTGGTGGTTATGTGTAGAAAAAGAAAACTTCAATCACTATTTCGAAAGAGACTTACATGAGATGACGTAAAAGCCCATCTATCTTAAAAAATTTATAATGTGATTGTAACATAACCACGTAATGCTACTAACTCACGTATTAAACAGTTTAAGTGAATGACATGAATCATGCTCGATACTTTATTAACCTAAGAGTGTACTAATAATAAAAACTTCATGTTAAGACATATCATTGATTGATACGTATTATGTTCATGATAACAAAGTTAAGAAATAAAGATTTTTCAAGTTGCCAATAACACAGCCCGCTACACTAAATGTTTTCATAGATTCATATTAGTGGTTGAATATTTTTTTTTTCCAAGTATTCAAACACATTATGATATTGGTAAACCGAACAGTGTTGCCAACACACTAAAAAATTTCTCGTTAAGAATGGTTAAGTTTATAAACACATGTCAGTAAACATATAGCCCACAAACATTATACACAAAATGGGCGCAGAAGATTTAAACTCGTTGAACCAGCCTCTCCCTTTCTCATATGAAAAAGAGATGGAGGTGGATACTGGATAGACGGGTTTGCCACTTTACCCTCAAAAGTGAATTACGTCTCTCAAGTGACACCAATAGAAAGTACTAAATTCCAGAAGGAGAAAGAAAAAGAAAAAAAAATCCCAAACTCTCAAATGCATAAGCTGTAAAGTGGCGGACTCGTAATTCATCAAAACGAAACATACAAGCTTTGGCTCAGTTCACAACTATCAGAAAAATGTGAATTCTAAACGATGGAGCCTGACAAAATAATTTGAGTTCTACTACTTGAGAAAGGTACAAGCAAGAAACAAGAACAGGTACACTACGAGTGAAGTTACAAGTTCGAGAGTCCAAGTCGGGTGTAACAGCATTGATGGAATATTCGGGACCAAAACCGAACCGCATACCCAACCAGTGACAAGAGCTCCAAGTCTGCAACAGGGGCAAGGTGTAAGTATCGAGAAGAGTGAAGGAAGAAGGCAGACAACTATGGCTACCGTCCAAACTTACCCGAAAATGGAAGCTCTGGCCAGGCTCTTTGTCTTCTCGTTGAGGAAATAGATGCAAGCTGCCAAGGAGACCGCGACCTGTAGTAACAAATATTTTGATTATTTCCAAATTCCAGAAAAAAGGGGCACCAGCATTGCAATCTCTTTTCTGCGTGCTTAAATGCAAATTATAGTGTTTTAATCAAGATCAACAACGAGGAAGGGTGCATTTATGTTATGGAAGAAAAACGACTTAAAAGATCCCAACGTTGGATTCAGCAAAAGAAGGTAGGCATTTGCTCTGTACGTCGAGAAATGTCTAAAAGTCTAATTGTGTCAGCAAGGCATGTTTCACAAAGAGACTGAGGCAATGCCACTACCATATTCTATTCCAAACCGTTTGTGCTCATCATATGACGAGAGCAACTCAATCAAAGATATCATCCACATTGCGAACAAACGAAGATGTCTCATGAACAGCTTATAGGATATCTATGAACAGCACACCAAAAAAATAATGTCTAACTAAGTAACTGAGAGAGTAAACCTCCTCCTCAAACTTGCACAAATCCGTCACAAATA